TGCTGTTTACAGCTAATACAGTATCAAGGCTGTGTAAGAAATGATTTTCACTTTCATTTCCCTTGCTACAAGCTTGTTTTTGTTTATTCTGTTTATCAACTATAGTTCCACTAACATCGGATTAGAAGATAGCTGTTTATCGGATTTATATTTGCGACACGACGATGATAGCTAGTGATGCAAACAACTAGATTAGAAGACTCATCCTATTTCCAATTTGTTTGTGTGTTTAGTTTACAGGAAAAAAACTTATAATGGGCATGGGAAATCTCAAGTTGGATCCAAGTCAAATCAACTTAATAAAAAGACATATATATGTAATAAAAAAACAATAGTGTCTACGTTAAATGAATTATAATTAGGAGCTGGTAGAAGAGTAGTCAATAAGGACAAAAGAGATGGATGTGCTTTTTAGTCTGGATAACAACACATAGCGATCCCATACGTATTTGGTTTGCACTTAAGCACTTTCTTGTGACATGTCTTTTCAATTATGATTATGTGTAATTTGACTAAACATAACCATCAATCATCCACCTAAATCAAATTTAATCTCAGCACAAAAAGGTATTCATTTAACATGTATCCAACTCTTACTAATACACATAGATGCAAAAAATACATTTTATAAAATGTGATGTGTGTTTTTGACGAGTGCGACAATAACCACCACCAACACATACAAAATTCCAAGTTTTAAATAAGAATAACTAAAAATATCTATCAGAAAGTTTTTTAAAATGGTGCAAACATATATTTAGGCTCACTATACTATATGAATACCAAATTTTATGAGTAAACATTAAAAAAAAATTACCAAAAGAAAACATACAATAATAAATACTATAAAAAGAAAGAAGAATAAGAAGAAGCACGCAATGAAATAAATGAAGGTAGGGAGGGGCAGGAAGTTTAACCCAAAAGATTGGACGAAAGGCTGACACTTTTGTTGCCTTTCTCTCTTTGTTTTATTTTTTTTCTACTTGTTTTCTCAAATTTTATTTACTTCGATTATTATTTTAATTATTATTTTGGGTTGTTTATTTTGTGTTTCTTTCGCTGCCACGTTGGATGGGACATATTGGAATGAGACTTTTCCTTCCTACCCTCCTCTACTGCCCATTTCTATAATTAAATATCACTCGTACGAACATTCTTTCTGTTCCTAATTTATGATTTTTTTTTTTGGACTTATGATTGAATTTATGCGTTTAGAAGATAATAGTTTAGTTCTTTCTCAACAAACCATCCCTAACAATAACTTTAATTACATATGCTATTGCTACCCTCCTAGTTTATGAAAGATCACCTTTAGAAAGAAAAAAATAAGCGAAAACCTTGAACATCTACGAATATAGCTACAAAATATTGAATTGAAAATGGTAAAAAAAATACTGAAATGTTGTGTTGGCATGAGGTAAATCTCTCTATGGTTAACGATCAAAGCGAGCAGTAGAAACAGTGAAAAAAAGGAAGCGAAGAAAGCTTTTTAATGTTTCACTTCATTTGTGTCGCACGCGACAGGCACGTGCACGTCAAGATCCTTGTCAGCTCCACTCTCAATTCTCACATATCAAACATGTCCCTAATCTATTATGGCTATTTGCATATCTACAATTTTTCCGACAAACTAATTAGATTTTTATTTCTATAGCCCCGATCACGCTATTGTGTTTCTATCCATTTATTTCATACACGATTATCTCATGCAATTCTTTGTATATATGATTGAATTTCATATTTAGTGATCATCTCTAGGCCTAATCACATCCCTAGATATATTCCGGCCTAATAACAATTGTTAAAACAAAAATAAAATAAAAGAATATTACAGTGTATCAATTTCTGCTTATTTCATTAGTTGAGAATCAAGGTTAAACTACATGGTATTAAATTATGTAGTAGAACGTCAAAAAGTGAATTAAACTAACAAAGATTCAATTTAATTCGTCGTTTATCAGAAGAAGACAAATTGAAGGAATAAACATACATACAATTCAATTCATGTACTGATGTACATATGAAAAACAAATATCGTTTTAAGTCAGATTAATAACTTGAATTAAATAATTAAAAGACCCAAAAAACATAAATTTATCCGTTCGGTTCCAAACTGGTCTCAACAAAAGAAAACCAAACTTTTTTGTTTGTTAATAAAAGTCATAAAGAAAAAAATTAAGCTCCGGCGTAAGGGTTAATCTTAGGTTTGTCCTTGACAAGACCACATTGAAGGCTTGTCTCCGGCATGTTGTATTCGTCCCTGAGAGATTTTTCCGGCGATAAGATGCTTGCGTAGAGTTGCTGTCCCAAGTAACGTCTCTCGGAATTCTCTGACCTAATGTTCCACATTCCACAGTTGTCGAACGAGAGCAAGATTGCAGCCCAACACTTAGGGTAGACTTGAACTGTGTGACGGCTCACTGCGTCTAGAAGGTTGTAGTTCTTCCTTTTCTCTGGTGTCCATGTCCCTGGCTCAACACTTTTGTACGATGAAAGGAAATAAAGCATCAATTAGGGTTTAGAAATAGGTTACTTGTATTGCAAGAAATGGATGTAGAATGTTACTTACGCTACAGCGAAGAAGGCGTAGCCATCCAAGTGCCAAGACTGAACGCTCTTCTCATGGTTTTCGAACACGACTTCGATGAAGGTACGGTGAGTGATGTTAAGAACATTGGGTTCGATCTTGATGTTCTTGATCTGATCGGGGGTAGGGCTGTCGGAGATGATGTTGTACTTGAAAACCTTATCGGCAACGCCAAAGTACTCAGCGAGCTTTAAGGGGGTATCTGGGTCTGTGTGCGAGACTCCGTTCAATGCGTACTTGAGCTTGCCATCGACCTTTCCCTGAGTGTTAATGAGCTTGATGGTGCGAGTGATGTTAATCTTTCCGTAATGGTAAGAGCCTTGTGGGTTAGGTCTTGCGGCGCTGGCTGTCAAGTTCCACCTGAAAGAGCGGAACTGGTTCAAAGACCAAGCCCAACCAACGGGAGCTGCGGGTAGCTGAGTAGAGGCAGGACCTTTGCCTCCTTCGTAGCGGAGGAGACCAGTGGTAGTCAAAGGGTTCTTCAAGAACCTTGTGGAAGCAACCATGTAGTAATCTTTAGGCTCTTGATCCGCGGTGAGGATCGTGCCGAAACACTGACCAACGTGGATGTCAAGCGAGTCATAATCGTTCTGGAGAACGTGTGAACCTTCCATCTCAACAAGCTTCAGTTTGTGGTTCTGAATCCTGAAGTTAAGAGATGCCTTGAGACCCACGTTACAGATCCGGACTCTGTAGGTTTTACCTGGCTTCAAGTTGAAAAGAGGCTGGTCGGAGCCGTCACCTTTTCCAGCCTTACCGTTGATGAGAACGCCGTCGGGACGACCAATGGTACGTCCAGTGTCAAGGAACTTCTTGAGCTGAGTGTGGCTCTTGGTGTACCAGTCGTTGATAAGGACAGTGTAGTCATCTTCAGGGTCAGCGTAAGGGACAGGGATTAGGAGACGGCTGTTCACACGGAGGCCACCGAAGCCACCCGCGGCGCGATGAAAAGCCGTGGTTGGGTAGTAGAAGTAGCTACCGATCTGATCCTTAGGCTGGAAATGGTATGTGAAGTTCTTACCCGCAGGGATTGGACACATTGTCCCGGCGGTTCCATCTTGCCATGAGTTCTTTCTATGTTGGATTCCGTTCCTATAAAAAAATTTCCAATGAGAACCAGAATTAGAAGCCATTGGTAACGATGGACGTTTAAAACGAGCCATTGCTGCACGATAAGAATGGTAAATTGGGAAGTGAATGTAATGTAAAAGCCATATAAACGTACCAAGTGATAAGGAAGGGCTCGTCGAGATTGTTGAAGACATTAATGATAATGTTGTTGTTGGACGTTGAGTTGATGTTAGGACCAGGGAATTGGCCGTTGATGAGAATGACTTGTTGTGGAATGCCGAGAGGAGATGCGGTTCCGTAGGTCACGTTCCACACGTGGTGAAAGTAAGGATCCTCCGCTTGGACCATCACGACGGTCGCCGTCGCAAGGCATAGGCACACGGCCAATAGTTTAGCCCCACCCTTCATTGATAAATAAACTTTATGACTTTTTTCTTTTCAAATGTTCTAGGATTAAATGGGGTTTTTGATTTTTTTTGTTTGTTTTATTATGTTTTTTGAAGGGTTTGAATTTCGATTGTTTTTTTTCCAAATGTTAAATGACGTTTTTATAGTTTAATCGAATAAACAGTTGCTTGCTTTTCTCGTTCCTCTCATTACGCTCTTCCGGTCGTCCATAATAGGACTATTCTGTTTTGACCTCTCGCTATTTTTGATTTACATTTTTTTTACCTTTCTACTTTCTAGAAATTATTTACTTCTTTCAAGTTCCTTGATAATTTTCAGTTTTACTAAGCTTAATTGGGGGATATTTATGAGTTCGTTCATATAAAGGGTCTAATTATAATAAATAATGCATATGACTAAATTCTTGATTTAATGTCATGTCGTGTATACAGTTCAATTGTGCCCGATCGAAGATAGTTATACATACATTAGGACAGACGAAGATCGTTTTGGTCAAAATTTTGTCATGACAACATTTTTCGGGTAACATTCCTATGACGTGTTGACATCGTTAGCGACGTCATTTCCATTATTAGAATATGATCCGAGCTGTACTGATTCAAAGTTCCGGAACCTTAAAAACAATTTAGAGAGAGAACATATGTTTGTTGCATCAGCATTTTCACATATAGAAAATTGAACTAGAGATAACCCGTAAAAAATGGTGATATCTTGCGACACAAGTTACATTTCCCTGCATAAATACTTCGAATCACCAAGTTACAAGAGGATTCATCAAGAGCAATATTTGCTCTCGAGGGAATAAACCAAAAATATTTTTGTTTTCTTTGTTTTTTTTTTTTTTTTGGTAGGAAAGGGTTAATTATACGTAACACAGATAGTAAATTTAATATCTTTTTCCCTTAGGAAAAGAGAAAAAATAAATAATAATAATATGGAGGGGAGATTATTAACGGTGTTGGTTTGCCTCGTCTCTACGGTGGCGATAGTGAACGCCGGCGATCCTTACTTTTTCTACACATGGAACGTTACTTACGGAACCGCCTCACCTCTCGGTGTTCCTCAAAAGGTGATTCTCATCAACGGTCAGTTTCCTGGTCCTAACCTTAACTCTACCTCTAACAACAACGTCGTCATCAATGTCTTCAACAACCTCGACGAGCCTTTCCTCTTGACCTGGTAATTACTTAACCGTATACGACTATGATCACGTGGTCCTCAAGCATCCCTGTATTAACATCTCTAAGTGATATATAATATGAGTATTAATGGTGGTGGATTGTGGTTGTAGGAGTGGGATTCAGCACAGAAAGAACTGCTGGCAAGATGGTGTGGCTGGGACTTCATGCCCAATCCCAGCAGGAACAAACTTTACTTACCATTTCCAACCAAAGGACCAGATCGGTTCCTACTTTTATTACCCTACCACTTCTCTCCATCGTTTCGCTGGTGGTTTTGGTGGTCTCCGTGTCAACAGCCGTCTCCTAATCCCTGTTCCTTACGCTGACCCTGAGGATGACTACACTGTCCTTATCAACGACTGGTACACAAGCAGCCACACCACTCTCAAGAACTTACTTGACAGCGGACGCACTCTTGGCTTACCTAACGGTGTTTTGATCAACGGAAAGTCCGGCAAGGTTGGTGGAAAGAACAAGCCTTTGTTCACCATGAAGCCTGGGAAGACTTACAAGTACAGGCTTTGCAACGTTGGTTTCAAGTCTACGCTTAACTTCAGGATCCAGGACCACAGGATGAAGCTTGTGGAGATGGAAGGTTCTCATGTTCTTCAGAACGACTACGACTCGCTTGATGTCCACGTTGGCCAATGCTTTTCAGTTCTTGTGACTGCTGACAAGGCAGCTAAGGACTACTACATGGTTGCATCAACGAGGTTCCTCAAGAAGGAGTTGACCACCGTTGGTGTGATCCGGTACGCAGGAAGCAACGTTCAGGCTTCAGCTGAGCTACCCAAGGCCCCTATTGGTTGGGCTTGGGCTTTGAACCAGTTTAGATCCTTCAGGTGGAACCTGACAGCTAGTGCTGCAAGGCCCAACCCGCAAGGCTCATACCATTACGGAAAGATCAATATCACACTTACCATCAAGCTTGTCAACACTCAGAACGTTGTGAACGGTAAAGTCAGGTTTGGATTCAACGGTGTGTCACACGTTGACACCGAGACTCCTTTGAAGCTTGCTGAGTACTTCCAGATGTCAGAGAAGGTGTTCAAGTACAACGTCATCAATGACGAGCCTGCATCCGAAATCACAGCGTTGACCGTACAGCCTAATGTTCTCAACATCACTTTCCGTACCTTTGTAGAAATCATTTTCGAGAACCACGAGAAGAGCATGCAATCATTCAATTTGGATGGTTACTCCTTCTTCGCAGTCGCGTAAGGATCACGTTTCTTTACATCTCTCTCTTTCTTTTTCTTTTTCTTTTTCAGACTTTCTTCTAACTTCTTGCTGTTTTCATGGACGTTTTCAGTTCCGAGCCAGGGCGATGGACACCTGAAAAGAGACAAAACTACAACTTGCTCGATGCGGTAAGCAGACACACAGTGCAAGTCTACCCAAAGTCTTGGTCAGCGATCCTGTTGACATTCGACAACGCCGGAATGTGGAACATTAGGTCAGAGAACTTGGAGAGGAGATACCTTGGACAACAGTTGTACGTCAGCGTTCTATCACCAGAGAAATCGCTAAGGGACGAGTACAACATCCCCCTCAACACTAACCTCTGTGGCATCGTCAAAGGCTTGCCTTTACCTAAAAGCTACACCTAACTTAATTACTTCTAAACTACTCCACAAGTGGGTGTATTTTTAATTTACTAATTAACCCTTTCCTCTTTTAAAGTGTGTAATTTGTAAACTACAATTTATACTTCTTTCATATGCATTAAGCCATTAACCACAAAATCACACTGACCAAGTTTTGCTTCCTCAGTTCACAGAAGAAACTTTTGTTCGAAAACGACAATCTCAATTTCTCAAACCCTGTAAACTGAGGCTTGGACTGAAAAAAAAAACAGAAGAATAGGAAATTAGAGCTCACCACCACTCACTGACCATATAACCTATTAACGCAGTGTGCTTCCAGTGATTTCTACTACCATATGCTTCTTCTATCAGTTAAAATTGCATCAGAAAAACAAAATTTGAATTTCCATGTTAAAATCCTTTTGCCTTTCACCAAAAAGAAAAGACATGACAGGTTTCTTACACTCATTTAAACAAAACTATAAATGACTTTTACTAAAAAAACTGAATCCTTCAAAACTAAACGAAAAGTTTTACTCAAAAAATAATCCATACTGAATTTCTACTGAAGAAACTAAACTTGCATCATTTGGCGATCAAGACTCCATGCTGTTCTCTGTCTCTACTTCGTTAACCCGCTGAAGAAGTCATTCCCATAGCCCACATCAATAAGCCCTAATCCCAGAAGAACACGGAAGAATAGAGCCTTAAGCCTCTGCATAAACGTATGAGCTTTTCCTGCAACCACAAAAGGAATCTCAGAAAAAAAGAAAAAACACACACAACAGTTTGTTTGTTGGATACTTGGATCTACGCCAAAACACAAATGTGGGTAAAAAATTGTTTACCTATATCTCCCAAGGTTTCTTGTGGTCTAAGAAATGGTGGAGCTACATTTTCCGTGAACGCCAAAGGAGATTTCGGTTTGAGTGACTGATCCGGGAAGAGCTGTTTGAGTTCCGATTCGCGCAGCAAGATCGAGGCCGATGAATCTTTCTCCCTACCCGCGCTTTGATCAACTCCAAACCATGCATTGTCTATGTGTTGGCTAAGTCCATCGTTCTCTAAACTTGGAGGGTACAGAGATTCCTCGTCGTCGTAGCCAGGATTTGGGTATTTGGACAGAATCTGATCCTCTGTTTCGGGAGAACAAAGACTTTGCAGCTCAAACAGATCATTAAGCATCCGCGTAGGTTTAAACCCTCTCTCCTCTGTCTTATACTCCTCAATATCTTCCAGTTTTTCAAAGCCTAGACCACAAGGAAGTTGTTCCTTGTCAAGCAAGCAACTCCTGTTTTCCGATTGCGAACGAAGCCAGCTGTTAATCCTTGAAAACTCTGTCCCACCCTTTTTCTGGTTAGCATCTTTCTGAAAGACACCGATCTTGGAACCGGGTTTTTTCGCAGATCCAGGTCCCATCTCCATTACTTTTGGCTTCTGCTCAGAGACGACCAGCTTGATATCACATTCAGATATGTCCTGACTATAAACCGTTGTTGCATCATCTGATGTATTAAGACGCCTAACGCACGTTGACTTGGAAACGCTCTTCTCCGATGAGTCACACATAGAATCATATCCTTTCTTCTTCACGGGAAGACGCACAGATTCAGCTCGGACGGATACCATTGAGTTCCTTCTAGAAAAGCCTGGAGTGTTGGCGATTACACCAAAGTCTGTACCTGATGATAATCTCCTGTTGCTACTAGCTGTTGGTCTCATGAAGCTTGGGAAAACATCTGAAGCACGTCTTGATTTCCTTCTTGGTACCTTTGGAGTAACTTGAATCTCTTCTCTGATCACATCCTCTTTCTCTTCTTCAATAACATGAGGCTTACCACAGAGTTTCTCCAGTGTCTCGTTTAGAATCCTCATCTCCCTTAACGCTAACTCACGCTCTTGTTCGATCTTCTCCATCAAAGTCTGCAGATTCGCCATCACAGCCTCCTTTTTCTCTTGTTCTTCCTACGCATCAAAAGAATGTTTTAACCCATCAGTAAGTGTAACACTTTAAAGCAAGTTGATATGAGTGATGCGAGTAATTAAGTCAATTATTACCGGTGATTCGTCTTGCCCTAAGTGGATGTTCTTTGCCCTCGTTGCGAAGTTTAAAGAGCATATGGTTTCACACAGATCATCTTCTTTTGGGCTTATATGGACAAGCATCAAGGTTTTAGAATCCAGCCCTGAATATTCAACAACGTAACTTTAAGAAGAGAAACAAAATTTCAGTCAAAGATGAAGATATTGGGAAGATGTTCGTTACCGAGAGAGTCTTTCAGAACTTGTGTGAGCTTGCTGTTCCTGAAACACAGAAAAAAAACAAAAAAAATTCTCAGCAATTTTCAGAGATTGAGATCTCCAAGGTTACATAAGAAATGATATGTTTTACCTGTAAGGAATGTGAGCATTCTTGCGTTGAAGAGAGTTGATGACATCTCCGAGAGCAGATAACGAGAGATTAATGGCTTTGCCTTCATCAAAACGACGACCAGTGGCTCTGGTTTTCAACACACGCTCGCTTCCTCCAAGATCCACTAGCCAAATCTTGTTTGTTTCACGCCGTCTCTCAGGAGCTCCAGGACAAGTGACCGATACACGGATCATACTGTTTCATATCATGTAACATCAGAGAACATAATGTCACAGAAATTTACAAGAAATGATCGAGTTTTGAGCTTTTACCAGTGTGATCTGCTGGATGCAGAGTTAGAGTTAGTGTAGGCAGTTGCTCTGTTTCGACAACCTACTTTGTATAACTTGAAGACTTCGTTAAAGTCCTTCACTTTAATAGTCACCAAGTTCTCGATATCTATCTCTCCCTTTGCGTCTGTGTGAATCAGAAGGCTGAAACAGAGAAACAAAACTCATTCAGTTATATAATCCAACTCCAACCCTTCACTGGAGAAGAAGATCTATTAGTATTACCTTGGAGGTATTGGATTGTGTTTAGTTGCTTGAGAAAGAAGCAAGTCTCTGAGATTTCCCATGTAAATCTCAAGCATACTAAACTTGATTACAAACTTATGGTTGCTTTCCTCAACCTGTTTAAACAATCCCTTGATAGCTCGAGGTACGATTCCTGGAGAATCCGGAAGACCCTCCTGCAAAAATATCCATTCCATATTATATTATCATCAACCTTAGAGAGAGATTCAAGAAGCAACAATGACATGTTTGGATTGATGTATGCTTACCATTGTAAACGTTTTCCCAGTACCGGTTTGTCCATACGCGAAAATGCAAGCGTTGTAGCCATCGATAACCGATTTGATTACTGGTTCGATCTCTAAGAACACATCATCTGCAGAATTTTGAATACTATCATCAAATCTGTGTGCGTAATCTATGTAAGAAACTGTGTGTTAACTGTTAAGCCACGTACCTTGTGATGAATCAGGTTGGAAAACGCTGTCGAAGTTGTATGTTTTCCTCTTGGTTTCTGTTAACTTGATGATAACGTTTCTTGTGTCAGAAGCAACCGGTGCTCTCAAGTTTTTCGAGTCTAAGGGTTTGACTCGACAAAACACACGAATGTTCCCTGACAAATTTTCAATATTGAAATTAGACTATTGAAAGCTGACATTTTACAGTAGATTGATTACAGTATAAAGCAAATTGATTACTAACCTTTAAGGTCCAAAAACTCGTTAAGAATCTGTCTTCTTCGTTTGTTCTGATCATTTACTTGAACTGTTAGTGCAGAGAGTTGATCTGTAACAGAATAAAACAGAGAACACAGAGCAAAACCAATAAGTAACAGCAGAGCAAACATATATTATCAATAACTGAAAATTTGTATATATAATATTATCTTAATAAAGTCATATAAACATATATTCTCACATGTATGTAGTTCTATATTTTAAAACCTGACTTGACGAATCTCTCTTGGCTGTTATTATATTAACCGAAAGAAATCTTGACTAGAGAATATTGAACCCCACACTCATATTGTAAAATTGAAAAAAACGTGAAAGGCTAAAACAGCCGTTGGATGACTGCCACGTCACTCTAATACTCTAATACAGTACAAGAACATCTAATCCAACGGCTAATATGCTTTGCATGTAGTAGGTAATCTTCACCAAAGGATTTTAATTTTTCACAAGATAACAAGATTTTTTTCTTTTACTCAAGAAGAAAATCAAAACAATATTGAAGAACAAAAGTCCAAAGAAAGAAGAAAATCTTCTTTGAGGAAAAGGAATCCGAGAGAAGTACCTCTAATGCTCTGTTCGTCGATGAAAACAGAGTCGTCTTCTTCCTTCGACGTTGAAGAAACCTTCTTGGCGATGTTGCACACAGATTCAACCCAAGCTGAAGTCAAATTAGATTTCAAACCGAGCAACGAATGGATTGTCTCCGGCAAATCCTGAACCGGTTTCGATCTTCTTCTCTCCATTAAACCAAATCTTGAGCTTTATTAGAAAACAAAGGAATTCACAGGAATCTGAAAATTTGCCGAGAAAGTGAGAGGAGAAAAGAGAGGGAAGTAGTGAGTTTGGGGGCAGAGAATGTTCTTCACAATCAAAATCTCTGCAGGTGCCATATATATATGAGTAGCAGCACAGGCCCTTATAAGTCTTCTTTTTTTTTTACCTTGGAGGAGAGATGATTGTAGCTGAAGGTAACACTTGTCAATGTCACCAAATGGTAGATTAAAATGTCCAAGTAACTATGTGATTGCTATTCCCCTTTTTTACTGGAACAATGTTATAAAAGTGCTACTTGGATTGTAAATGGTTAGATTTTTTATGATGTAATCAGGATCAACGGTTGTAGATGAGTTTTCATCCAACTTATCAATATTTACAACTTTGTTTTACATTATTTCCAAAACAATTATTTTTAGAGCTAAATTTAGAGTTTTTGAGTAATTACATACTAGTAAATTTGAAGTCCTAGTCAAAATGTATATAAATCACTAAATAGAAAACTATAACTAAAATAACCAAAATTAGTGATTTTTATTTACTAGTTTCTGTTTTATATTTTTCCACAAATAGATGTTATTGATACCGAATACCGATTTTTAGTCTGTATTGTAATCTACAAAAAATGAAATAAAATCATGCTATGACTAATTATTAGTCTCTAATACTGATTATTAGTCTGTAATATGACGTGTTATTATTATCTAATCCATCTCTAAAGAGGCTAATTTTGGGGGAGAAATCGTTGTAGTCAATCACTATACGACACATAATTATTAAGAAAAACAAGTAATTATTAAAAGATATGTGTTCTTGAGGATATCGAGATAAAACATTCGTATTTCGACCCAAAAATTTTAAGTGTTTAATATGTATAAATCATTTGGCCTCAAAACTTTTGAGAAAAAATAATATGTATGAATGATCGTTTAGTATCTAAAACAGTAAATGTTTATAGCATTTGAAACAACGACTCTTAGCCTATCTCAAGACAATTGCCAGAAGCATAAACGTACTAGAACTAGCATCACCAAAATAGGTCTTACAATGACAATGGGACTAGAGTAGTCTCGCGAACTGTGGCGTGCGTACGTACGTATAGATGGAAACCATAAAAAAACATTAAGATAATGTAAATTTAGTTGCATACGGTAACATAATTTAAGTTAGTAAATCGGTAAGCTAATATTTCTTATTGTTTCGTCACAAACAAATTCAAACTCGTATACTATAGTGCATAATATTTGATTATTGACAAGGATTTTACCCTCCAAAAGCCAAAACAAAAACGAAATTTGGTCGGAATATAATTGATTTCATACTTTAATTTGTTGTCTCTCATACAAAAGAATCAATCAAGTATAACACTTAGCGATGAAACTCCCATGTGACAATAACATGTAGCATAACACTTGATGATGATAATACTACATTGTCTTATACTTTTCTTAAGAATTATTATACAATTAAGAAGAATCAGTCAGCATGTTCTCTGTTTTTGGAATTCCGCTTCCAGTTTGACCAGCACAACATGTCTTTAACTTCTAATATCACCAAAAATACGTACTAAAATACGTTGCTGCTTAAATAGTTAAAATTCAAGAGTTCGCCTGTCACGATGGATCCATCAATAGATAACGCAATCTCACTTGTTATCGTCTATGGTTAGAGTAAAAGTCTCTTCAACGTCTCTTTCTTAAAATATATTGAAATTTCTTTAGCTAAGAAATAAAAAGAAGAGATTAATCTTAAAACAATATTATCATGTTTTGGAGAAAAACGCCAACATAGACCAATGGATGAACAGAAGATTTGTTAATTTTTCCCAATATAGGTTGACCCAAACATCTATGCGACCTAGTCATGCCAAATAATCTTTATTCACATGAACAGTGCTGTAATGTATATATAATCGAGTACTGAATAGTCTTAAATGTTGGGTACATGTTATCATTGTTTGCCACCCAAGAAACATCTACAAAACAACATATTGTATCAGCTTTGTTGATGGCTTCCACATATGTTTTAGGAGCTATCTCTCTTATCCTGTCCATTGTGTTTGAACTTGTATGAGCTAGATCATCTTGAGATGCTTTCATCGCAGTAGCATCAGACCATAACCTTAAATCTGTCACTGCCTCGTGTTTATTGTATGTAAAATGATTCTGACTAATGGGTAATGGGTCGCAACTCCCAAGACATATGGGGCTTCCTCATTAAGACTCTGCAACAATAAATACATTTCTCATGGGGTCCATCATTTATATGCAAATGCAATGCCAATGATTCATATGGACCAAACAGTAATGCAGTAATGGTTAAGGTAAAAAACCCAACTAGAATTCTGGTTTCCTCAACCTTCTCAATTATTACAAGTTGTACATACTACAAACATTTTCGATAAAGACAACAAAACAAGCGGTGAACATTTATATGATGACAATACAAAAAAGAGTTTTTTTTTTCACATGCCCACACTTGTTCAACTAATGAAAACCTTCACAAAGGGAAAAAGAGCAGAAGAAGGCAAAGATAAAGAGATGTGAATGTGAATTGATCAATCTTGAGGAGTCTCGAATCTAGTCGGTGTATCGATGCCAGCCATGCAACAAAGTCCACTTATCAAGATGAGAAGGAAAACGATTCCCTGAAAAGAGGCAAGAGACGTTATCACAAAGACTATGTGTGGAAACTTAACAAGCTTCAAGCTAGAGACGTTATAGCATGAACGAAAGTGTATTAGAAGAAAAGTGATGACTTTACCACTAAGAGACCCTCCAAGAGAGATGACTTAAATTTGCAAAGTTCATCACAGGTTGTAGTAGCTTTATCGGTGGTGTTTCCTGTGGCGGTTTCAGCTAAAAACCTCTGGAGAGTTTTGTATGAAGTGTACCAGTAAGGATCAGAAACATATAGAGCTGTGTATTTAGTGCCAGATTGTTCCACTGAAGTAACAAGCTCAGAGATTATTTCACCTGCAGAAACAATTCAAAGGAAACTTAGTTAACTTATACAAAAGTTATGACCGCTTTTTGTAACTATGATGTATCCACTTACGATCTGAATATGACTGGTCAGATTGAATTGAGGACTCAGATCCCTCAGAGCAGAGCACAACCAAGTCGGTTTCACCTTCTTTCCTTGTTTCTTTTCTAGCAACCAAATGATCCTGTTGATTATTTAAAAGTAAAATCAGGAATGCCAAATATGATTGATTAATGCATGGGACTTGAGATAATCTAAACGTAAGAACAATCGGATTTACTTTGAAAGACTGCACATTTGATAGTTTCTGAATTGTTCCATCCTCAACAGAACACGAGTCTGAGAACACAATATTGCTGACTCCTACATTGTGAGGACAAGCTTCTTTAAGCCCTGAAAGCAATAAGTTTTCCATCCTTTCCTCTTCTGGTGCAGAAATATATGGGAACGCCATTGAGAAGTTGGAAGCTGTATACATATTCTGATATATGAAAAAAACGAAGAATCGAATGTTATATATGGTCGAGACTTAACAGAATACCAAAATGTGTTTCAATTCTGACCTTCAATGTGTTAACAAGAGCAGGATCCGAGTTCTGATTTGAAGAAACATCCGAAGATAATAGCTGTAGACGGAAGAAAATACTAAATATTATGTAGGAGCAGTAGAATTCGCAGCAGCCAAAATATGTGCATATCAACAAACTCGAATCCTAATTACTAATCTAAAAAATTGAAGAAAAAGTTTGAATTTTGTTCAACTCTAGCAAGTTCATAGATACATAAACCCTTACCTCTCTGCCAATGAACACGAATGCAACATCAACACCTTGCTGAGCTTTTTCCCCTGAGCACTGAACAAAGGAGACATCAAAAATAGATATGAGAGAAAACCATTGCGTTGACAAACTGAGAACTGAAATAGCACAAACAATTTGAAAAGGAAGTATACCAGAAAATTAGACCACCTTCCTTGAGTGAAAACAGAACCTACAAGATCCTTTGCAGAGATGACCTGATAATTTACAGCCTCACCATCAGCAGACCTGAAATTCAACATTTTGAACAGCCTTATTAGCAAATTCTAGCTCGCAATCTTGAGCACAAATCCAACAATAGTTCTTATGGACATTAGAAATGCAATGGAGGTTGGTAAATTTTGCCCATTTCTGTCTCGAGAATGATAAATACAAGGATCAAGAGAGAGGCGTAACTGGAGATGTGGAGACCAGAGGAAAGCAGGAACAGTAGAAAGGGAAGCTGATCCATAACCGACGTGAAACGCCAATTCGAGAGCTACCATCAACGCCACTAGACCGATTGACATCCTCATCATCTTCCGGCGATCAAACAACACAAAACGTCGAGCAAAAACGACTGGTCAACCTCGAGACTGATTCAGAGATTCCAATCGAATTCAATCAGTTTTCAGCCTTCAAAAGACGAGCTATCGAAGCATTCAACAAGAAGGCGGATTCGTCTCCGATCCTCAAATCTGCTCTGTGTTGGCAGAAGACAGGCAACGAGCAGAGAAAACGACGCCGTCAGCTGAATAATTACCCACAAAACCAAATCTGGTTTAGTGAGGAGAACCGGTCTGAATTTAACGGTCAGACTGAATTGCACAGGCTATTAAACGACGTCGTTCAGTTAACTGTCAGGTGCGGAGCTTCACATTACGACCCGGCCCAATTTAAATAGACGAACCCTGCCTGAACCGTCATCGAGTCACCGGAGAGAAAATATCGCCGGTATTTGTAAATTAGATAGTTACTCTCGGAGGCTCCTACGAGCTCTCACTCATTCCCGCTCAAAAACCTTCAATCATCCCGATTCGGCCATTGAAGCAGCAGCAGAAGAGTTCGAAAGATGGGTAAAGCTGAGATTGAAGAAGAGGTGGAAGGAGATCGCGTCGAAACTACCGATTACTACTTCGAGAGAATCGGCGTTCCTCTCTGTATCAAAGACGATGACGCTCAGTACGATCTCGATAACCCTCCGTCACAGCCTCTAGCTATCTCCGAACGCCGCGGCCTCGTTTTTATAGCATATTCCTCCGGTTAGTTTTCACAATTGGTGATGATGGTACAGTTTTTTTGCTCGTTCTGTTTAACGTATTTGACCATTTTTGTGTGAATATTAGGGTTTTTTGTTGGAAGGACCAAGGATGTAATTTCTGCTGCCAAGGATAGTAACGGGAAAGGTAGTAAGGTTTACATCCAGGATTTGAGCCTCGTTGATGTTCCTGTTGGGGACGTTCGTATATTGTCTCTCTCAGCGGATGATTCTATTCTCGCTGTCTCCGTCGCTGCTGATATTCATTTCTTCTCTGTCGATTCACTTCTTCAGAAGGTAATACGCCTCAGAAGCTCTTAAGCCTTTACTCTTTGCGGGACTTTATAGATCATCTCTTGTTCATGATGGGCTCTTCCTTAAGTTAGCTTCTTTACTTTCATTTTCTTCATTCTAATACTTAACTATACTCCTTTTCTCTTGGGAGTGGCGTTTATAAGCACACTACTATAAGTAGCATAACAAGCTGGATAGGTTTATCTATAGCCCATTGCTAGGATTTGGAATCTATGTCGATTGATATTTTACTCACTTTATCTCTCCTCTGCTGCAGGATGCAACACCTTCTTTTACATATTCACCTGATGAGTCGGGCTTTGTTAAGGATTTTCGGTGGACAACGAAAGATAAACATTCTTATCTTGTTCTTTCAAACCATGGGAAGCTCTTTCATGGAATTGATAATGCTCCCCCTAAACATGTTATGGATGGTGTTGACGCTGGTTTGTCTCATTTCTTTTGCTACTTCTTCAGTAATACAATAAACCATGTTACTGGCAATTATGGAAGATCGACTCTGTAGGAATTTATATGTTAACTTTGTTGTTTGTCAGTTGAATGGAGTTCAAAAGGGAGTTATATTGCTGTGGCTCAAGATAATAGCCTGCGGATTCTGTCGTCAAAGTTTAACGAGAAGCGGTGCATAGCACTATCGTTTGACAACTGGATTGGTGATTCTACTGAAAACTGTGTTGTGAAAGGTATGTTGCATCCTTCTTATTTCCTATCAGTATTTCCGTTTTGGTTCAAATTGCATAGTTGTTGTATGGTATGTGGGGTGTTTTCTTACGGACTGAGTCGTACTTTATCCCCACTGGGGATTCCTTCTGCTTGGACATAACATATTTGCAACGATACTGTTGAAATTTCTTGTTTCTTGCTATCTTCCATATATATATATGTAGGTTACAACCCTATAGTTCTCTATCTCTTAAAACTTCCATGTTTCTGTGAAAAACTTCCATTGAATTTTTTTGTAGATGGCTCTGAAGTCAAACTCTCTCAATAAATGATTGTTTACTCCTGCAACAGTTGATTCTATCAGATGGGTACGCCAGAACTGTATTCTTCTCGGATGCTTTCTGCTGATTGACGGCATGGAAGAAAATTACCTTGTTCAGGTTATCAGGAGTCCAGACGGGAAGATTACTGATGTAAGTAACTGATTTTCTTAAACGATTTTTTTATATGGAAATGATTCTATAGAATATGTAACTCTACTTGTATATTTTATCTAATTTGTGCTTATGTGAGCTTCTTCTTTGCAGAGTCAGTCCAATCTGGTTGCTTTGTCCTTCTCTGATTTGTTTCCATGTTCGATGGATGATCTTGTTCCGGTTGGTGTTGGACCTCACTTGCTCTTTAGCTACATAGACCAATGGTACTCCAAGCTATTTTTTCCGTTAATTATCTTCTTTTCATCTTGCGTTGCTTCTTATTTTTATAAATACTGAAATATTCCTGCCCACTGCAAGCCGTTTGACAGTCTTTACCACTCTACATTGAAATATTCTATCTAAAGATTTGTTTCCATGCGTAACTAACTTGGTAGAGCTATAAATAACCAATAATGTTTTCTCATGAGAATGGTTTTCATAATAAGAAACATGGACGAAGTAAATCATCAGTATTTGAAATGTTGAAGATGGTAACGTATTTTTACTTCCCTATATTTCACTCTACAGCAAACTGGCGATCACAGCAAACAGGAAGAGCATAGATGAGCATGTTGTTTTGCTTAATTGGTCACCCAGTGATGATCAAAGTGCAGTAACTGTTGTTGATATTGATCGAGAGACCTACTTACCAAGGATTGGACTCCAAGGTATGTGGTCCAGAGTTTCTGTATTTTATGTTTTTTTCCTTACAGTTACACGTTTGATATAAACAATAACATTTTTCTTCCAGAAAATGGAGATGACAATACGATCATGGGTCTCTGTACCGATACGGTTTCTGTTGAGGGGAGCGTTAAAGTCGGTACTGGAGATGATGATATGAAAGAACTCTCGCCATATTGTGTTCTTCTGTGCCTCACTTTGGAAGGAAAGCTGGTCATGTATAATGTTGCTAGGTACTCTCACAATGGTTTTACGTTTTTCTTTGTCATAACAAGATTACAGGATACATTATATTGTGTTCCTCTACAGTGTTGCAGGGCTCCCAACTACATCTGATTTTGATTTGGTCTCCTCTTCTGATATTGAAGATGCTTATGCCCCTTCAACTGGAGATGATCTTTCTAATCAGTCTTCTGAAGAGCCTGAACCACAATGGAAGTTGAATGCTTCGATACAAAATGAGAAGAGAAGCCTGACCTCGGAGAATTCAGTTTCTTTGTTACCTACCGAACAAAGGTTCCCAAATGAAGAAAATTCCAGAAAGGAAATCGAGTCTTTTAAAACTTCAGTGTCTGGGGACATCAACGGGAAACAAGCACCCTATGCTGAAAAATCATTACAAGCTGCAGATGCTCAACAAAGCATGGTTCCTAGGCAGTTCGGAACAAGTTTTGGGAAACCTCTTTTGTCCTCAGGATATGACACCAACAAATTTGCAGAATCTAGTTCTATCCTCCCTGTTTCTGATAAGCTTCAAAAAGAGAAATCTGAGCAGTCTAGTTCTCTGCATTTTCCGTCCAGTTTTAGTTCAAAGAGCACAGCAGCATCATTTTCATTTCCTGGGATGCAAAACGCTTTTGTTCCGTCACCAGAAAATACACCACCTCAGCCATGGTCAAGTGGGAAAGGCGTCTCAGCTCCAGGTTTTCTCTCTGGTCCTTTTCCTTCTGTGAAAGATACTCAGCATAAGCAATCTGAACAGACTGGATCTGATTATGTGAATCCTCCTACAACCTTCAAAGAGAAGCCTGTACAAGTTATTGAGTCTGCCAGAGCATCAGCTTTGGGAAATATAACTCCTCCGCAAGGCCAAAATCAGGACTCTGATGAAGGGGTAGAAAAAATCGAGCCAATTCCGTCTATCCGTGCCTCTCAATTGTCACTACAAGTGAAATCTTCCTTCGAAAAATCCTCAGGTCATCAGCAGCACAAATCTCCGCTCAATCCTGGACCTCTGAGACTTGAGCATAACATGTCAAAGCAACCCAGTAATGTAATGTTTACCCAAGATTTTATTCATGTGGATATGTATTCTAGGAAAGGGTGTCCCGGACTCTCACATTCATGCTGTGCTCTAGTATATATCTTACAGCACATAATTGGCATAACTTACTTCTTCTTTCTTGTACCAGATAAATGAGATGGCGAGAGAAATGGATGCGCTTTTAGAGTCCATTGAAGGACCAGGTGGTTTCAAGGATGCTTGCACCTTTTCACTTAAAAGTCATATCGAAGGATTGGAACAAGGACTTGAAAGTCTTGCTGGCAAGTGCCAAACGGGGAAGGTATATTTAAAAGTTGATGTATATTATTAGTGTGTCATATTAACTTTCGACTATCTCTTTTAGTATTTGAGCAAACCACCGTCCTCCAATATACAAGTATTACCATTGATCCTGGTCCTTTTTCCGTATTGGTAATTAATTTGGTATGGCGGTCTTCAGAGCCTAATTCAGGAGCAGGAAGCAGATATCCAACATCTTCTGGACAAAACAATTCAAGGTGATCCATAAAAATTTTCTTGTTCTCTGGTTTTCCTTATTGTATTTAATACCGTGTCATATCTTACACTGGAAGCTAGACTGCAAATTATCAGGCTGTTATAATGTTTGTATTATTGTTCTTTCATGTGTGGATTAGTTTTGGCAAAAAAGACATACATGGAGGGCATGTATAAGCAAACTTCTGATAACCAGTACTGGCAACTTTGGAACCGCCGGAGGTTGAATCCTGAGCTTGAGGCTAAGCGGCAGCATATTACGAAGCTAAACAAGGTTCTTAATGGGTTGATATACTTCAACCATCTATATGTTACTTGCTTTAAGCTTGCTTTTCTCATTCATGTTCTACTTTTCCCATTCAGGATTTGACTCATCAACTGATTGAACTAGAGAGATATTTTAATCGGCTTGAACTCGATCGCTACCAAGAGGATGGAGGGCTTCCTTTTACCCGAAGAGGTGTGCCAAATAGGTCTACTCCTTCAAGGTATATTATTTTTTAGTTGTGAATTTCTTAAGTAGAACATCCTATCACAAGAAATTGTTTAAGTTGGTCATGAACTCTCCTTCATTGAAACTGGGTTGATTCTCTCTGCAGACGTGTGCAGTCCCTTCATAGCCTTCATAACACAATGAGTTCCCAACTGGCAGCTGCTGAGCAGCTCTCTGAGTGTCTTTCAAAACAAATGACATTTTTGAAAATAGAGTCACCTGTCAAAAAGAATGTGAAGCAGGAGTTGTTTGAGACAATTGGGATCCCTTATGATGCTTCTTTCAGCTCACCAGAAGCTGTAAAAGCTAAAAATACATCTTCAGCGAAAAATCTATTACTCTCTTCTATTCCTGCAAGTATAAATGCACAGTCAAGACAACGTCAGTCATCTGCTACGAAAAGTTCTGACCCTGAAACTGCAAGGAGGAGGAGAGAATCACTTGACAGGGTAATTTTCTGGGATTCTTTGACTCAGTGCTACCACACAATTTATGCAAATTATTGTGCTTTGTGAGACCCCACAATATATCACTTCTTAATTTATGGTGAACTCTGACGCCTGACTCTACTTTTTGTGACCTTTTTGCAGAACTGGGCTGCTTTTGAGCCTCCAAAGACAACTGTCAAAAGGATTCTTCTGCAGGAGCAGCAGAAGACGGGTATGAACCAACAGACTGTGTCGAGTGAGAGAGTACGGTCTACGATTAATACACAAGATCAATCGCTGCTTCGCCTGAAAGATCACGGATCACCTGTAGTCTCCTCGAATAAGGGTGAGCTAAGATTTACTTTTGAATGCATTAGTATGATCTTGCTGATTATCTTTGTGTTTCATTTTTCTTTTTTCTTTTTCTTTTCACTGGTTTGATTGTCTATTTAATTTGAGCAGGAAGAATGGAATCATTCCGACAAGACGCCTCTGAAGCTCAATTAAATCCGTTCAGATCAACGCCACAATCTAACATTCCCTTTACCATCTCTCCAATCACTGCGTCAAAGCCAAGTTTCAATTGGTCTGGACATAAGTCGAACAGTACAGCTTCTTATGCTGAGGAACCTGCCCCGTTGCAGAGTAAGGATACTAAGTCAGTTTCACAATCAGGAGGATCAAATTTGCTTCTGAAACGACCAGTGGCCTCGACTGTATTTGACCAGACAGAAAAGAATGCTGGAGAAGTGAAAGTTTCTGAAGGCAAGGCAAATGTGTTTCTTAATACAGCTGCTAAATCAAGCCAAAGTTTTGGCGTTCAAACCAGTAGCAGTATCCTTGGTGATAAAATAACGTATCCTGTTGCAACGGTATCAGTTTCATCTTCGCCTTTGTCTAGAACGTCGCTTGATTCCTCTTCAAAAGATTCAGGTATATTTAGATTAACCTCTGTGTATTCCGTTTGATTAACATAATAGTCGACTTAGATATCTGGTCAATGACACCGCTATTATTGTTTCAGTTCCAGCATCTACTCCCATCAGCGTGGCCCCCGCCCCTCAAATGTTTTCAGTCACATCGACATCTACAGTATCAGCTACAAGTTTCAACGTTCCATTTGGTAAAACGTTGACCAGTGCCAGTTTGGATCTCAATCAAGCGGCTACGCCAACACCTTCTCAATCACCTGGCCCCACAGCTGGTTTCTCTTTTAAGTTACCAGCTTTGTCTCCATCATCCCCTGAAATTGGCTCATCTTCAGCAGGCCAATCTTCACTATTTCCACCATCTTCTGAAGCATCACAAGTGTCATCTACTCTGGTCTCTGCTACCAGTTCCCTACCAGATAGTAATCGTTTGTTTTCATCAACCTCATCATCTTTGCCTGCTCCAGTTACTTCGACCGCTCCTGACGTGTTTCAGTCTCCTCAAGTTTCCATCCCGTCTTCTACTGTGTCCCTTACAGAGCCAGCAGTCTCAGAACCTAAAAAGCCAGAGGCTCAAAATTCGACAATTCCAAGTACGGAAAATACTGTAGATTCCGTAGCAAATGCAACAAAATCACAGACTGAGCTGCTGCCAGTGAAAAATGAGATTTCAAACCCAGAGACTACAGTAACCCCCGTCAGTTCATCTGGGTTCCTGTCTGGATTTTCATCCGGAACACAGTCTAGTCCTGTAAGCACGGCACCTCCTTCATTCAGTTGGCCAGGTAGTTCGCAGCCGCAACAACAATCTTCTTTCCCTGCATCCTTATCAACTTCTGCAAGTCCATTTGGTGAGAAGAAAGAGACTGTGGATTCACAGGAAGATGAAATGGACGAAGAAGCTCCAGAGGCTAGCCAGACGACTCAACTTAGTATGGGTGGTTTCGGCGGTTTTGGGCTTGGGTCAACTCCAAACCCGTCTGCTCCCAAAGCGAACCCATTTGGTGGTCCCTTTGGTAATGCTACAACAACAACAACAAGTAATCCGTTCAATATGACTGTCCCCAGCGGCGAGCTATTCCGACCTGCTTCATTCAGTTTTCAAAATCCTCAACCATCTCAGCCCACAGGTTTTGGTGGATTTTCTACAACACCTTCACAAACTCCCACTCAGAGCGGATTTGGCCAAGCGTCACAGGTTGGTGGAGTAGGTCAGCAAGCTCTAGGATCGGTTCTTGGTTCATTTGGACAGTCGAGGCAGATAGGTGCTGGTCTCCCTGGTGCTACGTTTGGCTCTCCTAGTGGATTTGGTGGCTCCAGCCCAGGAAGTGGTGTCCCAAACGCACCAGCATCTGGAGGTTTTGCAGCTGCTGGTTCAAGTGCCACTGGCGGCTTTGCAGCCATGGCTTCAGCTGGTAGAGGATTTGCTGGTGCTTCTTCTAGTCCGACTGGTGGCTTCGCTGCTTTAGCCTCAGGTGGTGGAGGCTTTGCCGGTGCCGGTGCTGCTCCAGGAGGCTTTGCTGGTGCTGCTCCAGGAGGAGGTGGATTTGGTGGACTTGGTTCTGGCTCCGGAGGTTTTGGAGGCTTTGCTCCTCCTAATAGTGGAGGTTTCGCCGGAGCAGCAGGAGGTAATATAACATCTAGACATTGACCTATACATAGACATAAAAAGTCATACTCATTCATTGTGTCCATTAATAGGTGGTGGTTTTGGAGGTTTCGGCGGCCAAGGCCAAGGACAAGGCCAAGTCGGTGGTGGTGGGTTCTCAGCCTTTGGTGGCAACTCCGGAGGAGCAGGAAAGCCATCGGAACTTTTCACACAGATGAGAAAATGAAACCAATACGTTAAAATGGCTATAAATTTTGGTCTTGGCTTGTTTACCTACCTAGGCTTCTACTGTCCCATATTTTCTATATATAAACTGTATATCGATCGTGTGTTTGTTTCACTTTCTTCGTTCCTTAATGCATTGACGTCAACTATGAACTAAACTTCAAAATGTTAAGTAAATTGCTGACTTAACTCTCACGTGGCTCATGCCTTAATGGCCCTTACAGTTGGAGCTTTTATATTTGTTTTATAACAACATCAGAGAGATAGAGATACAGTGTTTTTTTGTTTTTTTAAATCCAGAGCAGAAGTCTTATACTATTTCTCATCTTGCTAATTAAAAAGTGATTTACAGTGTGGGAGATTTATAAACAAACTGAGAAAGGAAATAAAAGGAGTGGGCCTAGTGGGAAAGGAAGCAGCAGAGAGATTTTTATTTTATTTTAATTTCGTTTTAAGAGATTTAATTTAATTTCTCTGGAGAATATTTATTTTCTTCTGTTTTGCTCTTCTTCGATTCGATGTGATCCCGCCAATTGCCAAACAAACTCTTACTCTCTCCTCCTCACGAAATTCTCCACCGTCGATTCCTCCTCCTTCTCTCTCTCTCTCTCTCCTCGTTGATCTGAGCTGTGTCGCCGGAAAAGTTCGTGGAATTTTCGACATTAGAAAGCTTCGTGATATATTGTCTTTTATGAAGGGACATCGGAGTAGCGACGAGATTTATGATGCTTTGTGGTTGTTTGCGAGATCGAATACAGCCTTGGCTTCGCGACTATGTTAGGCTCCAATCTCTCGCCGTCTTCCTTATTTACACTCAGGTCATCGCTCTCTCTCTCTCATCGTCGTTGATTCAAATCTGTTTTGGGTCTAGGGTTCATCGATTCGAAATTGTGTGAGACGCGCGTGTTTATCTGAATTAATGAATGGTTTCAGATTGGGTGCGCGCTGATTGGATCATTAGGAGCACTGTACAATGGAGTTTTGCTGATAAACTTGGCGATTGCGTTGTTCGCTCTTGTGGCAATCGAGAGCAATAGCCAAAGTCTCGGCCGGACCTACGCCGTTCTTCTCTTCTGTGCTATTCTTCTCGACGTCTCCTGGTTCATACTCTTCACCCATGAGATATGGTATCGCTCTCAACTCTTCAACGAAGCTTTGCTTTAAGTAAAATTGGATATCAACTTTTGGTAATGATTGATTATTAGCATTTCTCTTGCAATTTTGATTGAGAAAAATATTTGATTGTCGATGCAGGAGCATTTCAGCTGAGACGTATGGAACCTTGTTCATATTCTCAGTGAAACTGACAATGGCGATGGAAATGATTGGCTTCTTTGTGAGGCTCTCCTCCTCTCTCCTATGGTTTCAGATGTACAGACTGGGGGCTTCTATTGTGGACACTTCACTTCCTCGTGAGACAGATCCAGATTTACGAAACAGCTTCTTGAATCCACCGACTCCTGCTATCGTTAGGCAATGCTCAGGTGCTGAAGAAATCTTGGGAGGTTCTATCTACGACCCAGCCTACTACACCTCTCTGTTTGAAGAGGGTCAAACCAATATGGGTTCACCTAAGGCCACACAGGTTTCTATATTATCCCCTATGGTCTTGTTTATGCACACTCTTTGTAGTAAAGAGTTTCCTGATACTCGTTCTAAACAGTTTCAGCTTTTGTGGATGCAATGCAATAAACAGAATCTATGATAACCTAAGCTAGATGATTCTTCTCTCGCTTTAGCTCTTTGTCTTTCTATAGTAGATGCAAAGAAGCAGAGACCATAGTAATGATATTTTCCTGTTATAGGAAGTATAAAATACACACACTTTATATAGTGATAATAAGGAGAAGTTTCTTTTCTAACAGCATTGAAGAAGTTAGTCACCCGATTCAAAGTTTTTTTCATATTGGTTGGATTTGTAGGTGAATCATTATTCAGCTGGGAACAAGGGATCACCATCTGCTGCCGAAGCCTCCCAGTTTAAGTCTCCCGTATCCAGATCGTTGCATTCAATTGATGTTAGTCTTCCATTGATTCAACGTTCTTAGTCTGATTTCACTATCACTATGTCTACTTTCTGTTGCGTTTTCTTTTCTCACGTGACATGTAATAAGACAATTCTCGTTCCAATTTCCTTTTTGTAGGAAGAGAAGGGTTTGAAACGACCGGGGATGTCTTCAATATGAGCAAACTTCATTCGAAAACGGTGGTGCTATTTAGCATCTAAACTGTCTGCTTTTCATTAGCTGGGGTTTATGATTTCAAGCAGACGCAGATATGTTGACGACCGAAAAAGTGAGAGAATCATGTCCTTACATAGGACAGCAAGATTAGATACGACCTACCAGTAGTCCAGTACCAGGAGATGAGATTCTATATGTTGAAGACAAGTAAGCTGTAAGCATTGTTTCTACTCTGCTTTTGCATTATTTATTTTTGTATGGAAAATATTTATTTTTTGGGACATGTGGTTAGTATAGAGTCAGAACCTACTTTGATGCATGTTGATTCTTTCCGGGGTTTTCTTGTGTGTAAATGGAGATACTCTTTTCCTTTTCTTTTGGTTGCAATGGATATAGTATAAGATTCCGGCGTTGATATGCTTAGTCCGAGTGTGTGTGTGTCTGTGTTGATATGAAATTTAAGTAAATGATCTTGAGATCCGAAACTATTGATAAACTGGCTTGTGGATTGATCATGCGTTGATGACTAATGAGCATGAAGATTGTAGTAGCAGAGAGATGATATGAGTGAATGTTGGAAGGTCCGGTTTGGACACGGTTGGGTCGATAAACCGGCTGATAAGCGATGTAGACACGTTTTGAACATGCGGTTCAAACTAAAACCTTCAATTTTTCAACATCCTACAACAAAGTTTCATATGACTGACAGTCATTGAAACACCTAGCTTCATTACAGTAACTAACCAACGTTCTGATTTGTAATAACGTGGCTTTTAGCCAAACATTAAAAAGCCCAAGTAATAAATAATATATTAAAAAAGCCCACGAGTGTGTTGGAGAAAAGTCCAATGATTTGATTAATCAGCTGTTTCGAAATATAATTAAAGGAAAATAGGGTCAAAATCTGCAGCTTAATAAAGACACACACAGAAACCCAGAAGGATCTGGAATCATCCTTGCTCTTTATTTCTCACGACAATTCTCCTCCTTTCGTATATATTACAAATCCCACAAATCTAAACCCCTTTTCTTGTCTAAATTTCGAAGAGGACAAAATCATAAAATTTTCCTCTGTTTTAGTTTGTGTCTATCGGCGATTAATCTGCGTTTTCTGCTGTAGAAGAAGACTTCAAGGTCAGAAAAAAAAAAACGTGCTTAATTTATGGTTTCGCGAGTTAGGTTGTTCGTATGATTTATCATTTGATCAACGGGACTAGGCTGATTTAGGGTTTCCATATGGATTGTTTCCAAACGCAGATTCTTCTTTCCATTTTGTATACGTCGACGAATCCGATTACTTGATATAATGTAATGGTCGTGCTTATCGATTTCAAAACCCCTTTCATTTTCCAACTAGTTTCTCCATGTTCGGATAATATTCGAGATTATTTAGATTTTGTGTTTCTAATTGAGACTGATTCTAGGGTTTTGATGTATCTTGTACGCTCTTTTTTGGTTTGATTGAAGTTTCTAAACGCATTGATGTATACTAAGTCTTCAAAGAGATTTGCGTTACGTGAAACCGTTTTGGCTAAAGTTTGTTGTTTTGGCCATGAACAGAGGGTTTTGACGAATCTTCTACACTTTTTTTTGGTTTGATTGAAGTTTATTAACCCATTGATGTATATTAGTCTTCAAAGTTATTTGCTTTACGTGAAATTGTTGGGCTAAAGTTGGATGTTTGTTGTTTTGGCCATGAACAGAGGATCCATTCGGCAAATGGAAGAAGCAATGGCAACGAGGTATTGGTGTCACATGTGCTCTCAAACAGTGAATCCAGTAATGGAAGCTGAGATCAAATGCCCCTTTTGCCGAAGTGGTTTCATCGAAGAGATGGCAGAGGAACAAGACACCAACGACGAGAGAGCAAACAACTCTCTATGGGCTCCCATCTTGATGGAACTCATGAACGACCACCCCGTGCGTCGCGGAAGAAGGAACCAGAGCGTCGAGTCCGTCGAAGACAACCAGAACGAGACAGAGACTCAGACCGAGACTCAGAATCACGAAACTGATTTGAATTGGCAGCTTCAGGAGATTCTCAGGAGAAGGAGAAGACACTCCGCTGCCGTTTTGCAGCTGCTTCAGGGGATACGAGCAGGTTTAACCGAGAGTAATGGAGATGAGAACAACGATGAGAGTGGCAACAGAGAGCGTGTGCTCGTGATCAATCCGTTTACCCAAACAATCACTGTTCAAGACTCTGTCGATCCGGATTCTGTAGCAGCTGGTTCGTTAGGCGACTACTTCATCGGTCCTGGATTCGAGATGCTGCTTCAGCGTTTAGCAGAGAACGATCCCAACAGATACGGAACGCCTCCAGCTAAGAAGGAAGCTGTTGAGGGTTTAGCTACTGTGAAAATAGAAGAGACTCTGCAGTGTTCGGTTTGCTTAGAGGATTTCGAGATTGGCACCGAGGCTAAGCAGATGCCGTGTAAGCATGACTTTCACGGTGATTGCTTGTTCCCGTGGCTTGAGCTTCACAGCTCATGCCCTGTTTGTAGGTATCAGTTGCCTGCAGATGAGCCAAAGACTGATTCGGTTACAACACCAACGAATGATGACAATGGAGTTGCTACTACAAGCAGTGATGGAAACCGGCGAGAAGAGGAAGAGGAAGAGGAGGGAGAGGAGGAGGAGGAGGAGGAGGAGGAGAATGACGGAAGTGGATTCTCGATGCCGTGGCCATTTGGCGGCTTGTTCTCGTCGTCTCAAGATAACAACAATCCATCAGCGGGTTCTTCTAGTTGAAACATTTCTCTATCTAGTTTGGTATGGTAAATGAATGAAACCGTGGTTGTTCGATCTGAAGCTGTTTTTGTCTGTACATAAAAGTTTCTCGGTTTTTGTGCTGTGTTGCTCTTTTGGAAGACAAAAATCTATCACTCTGTGTTATTTTTTGTTTTGAAGAATCTTTTTGGAGATTTCTGTATTATTTTGCTCACCACAAATCGTTTCTTCGATTTAGTTTTGTTTAGGCAACTTTTTTAACGCGTCGTTGTAGCATGATTTTATACCATTATTTCATACGAAGCGGTAAAAAGTAAAAACAATGGAAAACTGAACAGAGAACGATATGAGACTTGTTGTTAGATAAAATGTTACAAACAAATATTGAGCACCACTAATTAAGCAATTATCATCACTTCTGTGATTACTGATTAGTCTAAAGTTATAACATTTCATACCGTAACAGTAAAAACTACCAATCGAAACCGATCACTGATAACACTCATCAGCTCTTTACTACTAAAGTCATAACTCATAACATTACATACCGTTACGGTAAATGTTCTTGCGAAAACATGAAAATCTGTAATATCGTACGTGGCAGATACAGAGTGGACGTTCACCTATAAAACCAGCAAAGGCAGTAATATTAGATCTTTCAACGTGATTTTCCAGAATTGCCCTCGTCCTACATAAAGAGTGAGGGGTAGTTTAGGAACCTATATATAGCTATAAGAAGTCCATAAGCTCCTCAGATCCAAAACGCGATTTGTAAGCCTCACAGATAAAATCTCATCCCCAGAGAGAGAGAGAGAGAACAAACCCAGAGAGCGATATTGAAAACCACTCTCTCCTTTATATAAATTCCAATTTACAAACATCTTTCCCTCTCGAAATCTTTCGTCTCTGATATAAAAAGCAAACGCCTTCTCAAATCATTCACCTTCCTTTCCCCGGAGCGTTTCTTCCAATCGTTTGGGGTCACGAAACCCTAGATCGTTGTGCTTGAAAGATCCGGATTGCTAACTAGCCAAAGGTCTGATTTTGTTCCTTGCCCTCTCTTTCTTATGGCTCCAATTCTTCGGATTTGATTTGAATTTCTCTGTACCCCTTTGAAGTTTGCTTCTTTCGATTTGGATCTTATGTTCTCTGGAAAAGCTGTCTGTTATTTGATTGTGAAACAACACCAATCAAGCTCTATATAATTCAATAACTAAACCACCCTTTTGATACAACCTGATTTGGTCAATGAAATTCGACTGTTAAAACTTCTTAGATCCAATGTGAATTTCAATTATTGTATTATTGTCTGTGTCGAGTTTTAGCTGATTTGTATTTTCGTGTGATGTCAGAGAATGGCTGATCAAGGATTGGAAGGGAACCAGCCAGTTGACCTACTTAAGCATCCTTCAGGGATCATTCCAACTCTCCAGTGAGTTCTTCTCTGTACTTTTACCGTTTTACATTCTCAGCAGCTTGTGCTTTGTGGATGACAAGATCTTTAACTCTTTTTTTGTTTGTTTCAGAAATATTGTTTCTACAGTGAATTTAGACTGTAAACTTGATCTCAAAGCCATAGCCTTGCAAGCTCGCAATGCAGAATACAACCCCAAGGTTCGCATTTGTTCCGCTTATTTTGTTTTAGTAATCCATCATCATCATATTGATTGGAGTTTGAGTTGAATTCATTGCAAACTATGAACAGTTCTGTATTGATAGATGAAACACGAAAAAAATAGTTACTTTCTTCGTATCCTCAAATTATGTTTTTAACATTTCGTTATTCATGTTTCAGCGGTTTGCTGCGGTCATTATGAGGATCAGAGAGCCAAAGACCACAGCTTTGATTTTCGCTTCTGGGAAAATGGTAAGTTTTTATAAGCTTGTAGCATTGTTTTGTCACTTTTGCTCATATGGATTGATCTACCACGTTCTGGTTCTAATGTGCTGTCTATTTTTGTCTAATTTCAGGTGTGTACCGGAGCTAAGAGTGAACATCTTTCGAAACTGGCTGCAAGAAAGGTAACTTGCTTTTCTCAAGCCTCACTAGAAATACTTTAGCCATAGACTTGGTACAGTTTCAGTTACTAAAGAATGCCTTTTTGTTTGTTCAGTACGCTCGGATTGTTCAAAAGCTTGGCTTTCCGGCAAAGTTCAAGGTACTTAGACCTCTGTCTACACTGTAGTTTCATTTCAGACAGCAATTTGTTTGTTGTCTACTAATGAAAGTGCTGATTACATTGTGCAGGATTTCAAGATTCAAAACATTGTAGGCTCCTGTGACGTCAAATTTCCCATTAGGCTTGAAGGTCTTGCCTACTCTCACAGTGCTTTTTCAAGTGTAAGTGATCCTACGAGCTTTGTAAGCTTATTATAGTGTTTACAAGATGGAGATTATTGGTCTGATGATTTCGTAACTCTCTTATCATTGATGCCAGTACGAGCCTGAGCTATTCCCAGGACTGATATATAGGATGAAACAACCCAAGATCGTACTACTGATTTTTGTGTCAGGAAAAATTGTTATAACTGGAGCCAAGGTAAATAATCTCTTACTTCCTCTCAAATGATTAACAAATTTCGCATGTAAATGCTGATGAAATCCTCTGAGGTTGCTCTTATCAGATGAGAGAAGAGACTTACACTGCGTTTGAGAATATCTACCCGGTTCTTACAGAATTCAGGAAAATCCAGCAATAATAGTATGTAAGTCTCCATCTTTCTTTATCTCCCTTTGCACTTTTTCCGCATACCTCTTAAATCAATCAGTGGTTTGATTATGATCTTTTGGTACTTGCAGAGCTTATAACCATGTTGTTCACGTTTGGATTGCCATGAACTAGAGAAGCGCTGAGTTTATTTACATCCAACTTGTAAATACATAAGGGAGATGCCAAAATATCTTCTTTTTCTTTTTGTTACTAAATTTCTTACAAGTAACTTTGCTTCCTGTAATGTTTGTTTCAGTGAGCAATACCAAACCGTTAAAAGAGTTTTTCTCTGTAATTGAACAACAAGAGTCTCTGTGATAGACTCCTTTTAAGCCAATTTGCAGCTTAAGTTTCTCAAATGGTTGATTTTGGTTGGTGTTAAGAGAAAAGGAAGCACCTTTGGTTCGAGGAAAACAAAAGGTTGAATTGATTACCTAAACTTTGCGGCAGCATTAACAGTCTAATCTGCAAACTGAATCTCTGCAATAGCTCGATTTCCATGTTTACATCTCAGTTGACAACAGAGAACACGAGTAACACAAACAAGAAGTCCACATTGCTGCTAGACCAACGCCGAATCCAGCAATAAGAGATAAACTGTAGAGATAAGTAAAGTCAAGAAAAGGCCATAACTTTTACCAAATGCTCAAGATGCAAGTAAAACTGACCAGAAGAGAACAGGCAATTCTGATTATGATATGAAACTGAGCAGAAGAAAACAATTGCAATAAACGGGTTCAAAGGCTCGGGATCAAACATAAACTGAGCAACTTTAGCTGCGAAAATGTACTATAAAAGTCACACCCCAAATTAGATGATTCCAATCACATTGATTACACTGGAGAAGACAAAATCAGATTTCTTCCTTATATCCTACAGTGTTTAGTCAGTTGGGCTTTATTTCAATTTGGACTTACTAAAACCCACCCGGTAGTGAGAAACCGTAAAATCCCTAGAGTGTGGGTTTACTCTGGCGATCGCGACATTTCAGTCTCGACTTCTTAGAAACCCTAGGGTTTACTGCGATCGCGATATTTCCGGTCTCGTTTTTTCAGGCATTGGCCGGACTCTTTCCCGCAATCTCCACAATGCCACTTATCTCAGGTAATCAACTCTCTCTCTCTCTCTCTTTCTCGCGCTAAGTCTCTGTTTCATCCCAATCCCAATCTCTTTTCTTTCTTTCTTTTTAGACCGAGACCCTACTAAACCGTTCGGCAAGCTGAAGCTATCTGAAGAGGAAACAAAGTTCTCTAAGAGGGGTCCCTGTGATCGCGTTTTTGTGTACTGGGATGTATCCAAACACTGTCCTCTCCCTCCTGCTTGCCGTATTCGATATCTCCTTGCTTACATCAACCAGTCTCTGGGGAAGCTAGATGAGAAACTTTTTGTAGAACACGTCACATTTGTTGGAGATTCCGATTCTGTGACCGATATCCAAATTAAAGAAATTCATAATAATTTTCAAATGACTTGGAAAGAGGCGTGTGACAGAGATCCAGTATGCGACAGCTGTAAGAAGCCTGATTCCGAATACGAGGGGAAAAAAGCTGAATCGGCAGATGCAGTGATGGTGCGAGAGCTCATGGGTCATGCATATGACTATCCTGCTCCTGGATATGTAATGGTCATTTCCGCCGATTCCAACTTCTCCAGAGCTATGCGTTTTATGGGAAAACGGGGCTTCAAGGTGCTTCTTGCACACCATCTTAAATCCCGCCCGAACTTCCATACTTATGCGGATTTCTCCTGGCTGTTCCCCGGGATCATTGACGGAGAAGGCCCAAAATACGACAGGAACGGTCGATTGCCTGGTAAGAGAATTCTCTCTTTCTCTTTCTCGATTCCTCTTTCTCTGTTCCTTTCTATCTTTCTCTTTCTCAAATTCTTCTGTTTTTTTTTTTTTTTTTTTTTTGATGATTTAGATGATTTCAGCCCAATCAGTCTTGGCTTCCAAATCCCAATCCCCAGGGCTGAAAGAGAATTTGGCCTAATCAATCCAGATCCCAGCGAGAGAAACAGCGAAATTCCAGGCTTTTGGGATGTCGAGAACACGCCATTGCCACAGGGTTATCTTATAGAAGAACTGATTCCCAAGATCAATCTGGCTCTGTCTAAATTCAATAATGGGCACAATCGTTTGAAGCTGTCTAGACTTAATGTCGTAGGGAGTGATGCTGTACATGTGCTATCTGAATCTCGTCGTCAAACTCTCGTATCCAGTGGTCCACAGTTTGGTTGCCAAGTCCATGTTGAAACACCAGACCGAAGAAAACGTATCTGTTCCTCGTGCCAAACACCCTACAACTCACCTAGTCAACAAACGTACCAAGATGATTTTTCCAGGGTGATAGATGTTGCTGATTTCCTCCTGACGGAAAAACTTATGGAGTATCTCGTGAACTTCAGAACTCCTGGTTTGTTTCTATCACTTTGTTTGTTTCTCTATCTCGGACTTGATTTGCTCTCGCTTGTATTTGCTATGACTTGTTTCTATGACTTGATTAGCTCTTGGACTTGATTTGCTCTCGCTTGTATTTGATATGACTTGATTTGCTCTCTCTTGTATTTGCTATGACTTATTTGCTCTGCTTGTATTTGCTCTAACTGACTTCATTTTGTTTTTATTAATAGGTTTTGTTCTTCTAATCTCTGGAGATAAGGATTTTGGGCCAACTCTAGCTTTCTTAAGGAAGAGAGGATTTAAGATCATCTTAGCTCAACCATCCATCAAGAAGGCAACCACAACAGAGCTTCATTCTGAGGCACACCTAGGCTGGAAATTTGAAGATTTGCTTGAAGGCAAGGAACCAGTATGGTTTACTGAAGTGTTCCCTAAATACGATTGGTGATCTAATATCTTAATTATCTAATTTCCTTCCACGTGTAAGTTGCTGAATCAACATGCAAACTGTTTTGCAAGCTATACTTAGCTAAAGCTTGTGTCAGCTACACGTGTTTTTTTATCATCTTTTGATTGTATGACAAGTGACACTTAATTTATAAAGGAGAGTTAGTGTTTGTGAGTTGAAACTAATATTCAAATCAACAGCAATTCTCTTTGTATCAATAATCAACAGCCAGTAATTTTGGCTGGGAAATGAGAGTCAGAGAAAACATTTACAAAATATCACAGAAACTGAAACTGAAAAACGGAAATTGAGTACTATAAGAAGATTCAGGCCTGTTTCACTCATCCTGAGATTTTAACTTACAAGGAAAAAATACCAAAACCGAGTAATCCTCTCAAACATCAAATCGTTTCCAGTTCCTAAAGTGTAGCCTTGCTCAACATAATATACAGGTGAGCTTCAAACTACTTATGAAGGAAAAACTGCTTGAGTTCTCTGTTTCAAATATCAAACTACTTATGGATATATATCCTGCAAATATGAAAATGAAACTATTGTTAGAAACTGAAACAAGACCTAAACTAAAATAAACTGAACTGAAAAATGAAACAGAGAGGGTTTTATGAAACTTAAACTGAAACAGCTCCTAAACGTATTGAAACACAAACACATGTCTTCTTTCCGTTTGGATGAAATCAAAACTATTCGTGGCACTGCAAATGAGGTTTTGTTTACTTAATCTGTTTCAAGAGGACACTGATATAAATTAAGCGCGAAACAAGAAACAAATTAAGTTAAAATAATATCAGAAACTAGCAATCTACTTTCACTAACTGCTTTCGCTATCTGCTTCCACTAACTGTTCACTAACTTTATTTACTGCTTCCACTAACTTTATTTATTACTTTCACCGGAATCAAAGGATTGTTACAAGCCTTATCAACTATCCTCTCTCTTGCAAGCAGACAGAGCAAGTGAACCTTATGAATCAAGAGGTCGGCTTTGTCCTGTAGATAACTCCTACCTGGTAGCGTCTCCCAAAGCAAGCTGAAACCAAGAAACTAAACTTGTTTAGAAGGCAGATAACACAGACTGATTAACAGATTAGAACACAGATAAGACAAATTTCATTCTCAAAAAGTAAACTTGTTTGTCATACACAAAATAAGATGGTCTTGTGAAAAGAAACTTGTTCATAAGAAAAGAAACATTGAAAGATACTAGATTTCCTAAATGGTCTTCTGGCATCCCTGCTTTCACCAGTTCCTGCCTTGTACAAAGGAGACACATCTTTATAGCACGCAGCGAGTGTAGAACTTCCATTGCTCTAAGCTGAGAGCAACTAAACTCTGGATGGTTCTCTATTTGTTGGTTCTTGTGGGCAAGAATCTTGTCACGTGATTTCACACTATCCCTAATCACTTGTGCTACATCTTGTCCTCCTTGCACAGCTCTTGATCTTTTTTTATTAGCCCTAGGCCTAGTGGAAGACGAGAGACCATTGTCGTTGTTGCTGCCATTGACAATATTGGAAGATGAGGGTCTTTGAGTTGTAGGAAAGTTTTGCGTTGATTCTGCATCAGCCTCAGCATCAGTTGCTTCAGTAGGAGGGATGCGATTAGATCCAGCATCAACATCATCAAAACGGAGATCTTGATCCAGAAGCATTGTGTTTAAATGCTATTCACCTTGCTGAGCAGTCCAACCTCAGCTCCACTTACATGAACTGTGCTAAAAACCCTGAAATTCAACATTTTGGACAGCCATATTAGCAAATTATATCTCGCAATCATAGCCAAGCTCGACACATGAAATTCCAACAATCTTACTAGAAAAAAACGTACACACACATGAAAATGCAATGGAAGTTGGTAAATTTTGCTCATTTATGCTCCAGAGAATGATTAAGACTTTAAGAGAAAAAGGCACGTCACACTACGACCCGACCCGACCCGACCCGACCCGATCCAATTTAAATTCAGATGAACCCTGAACCGTCATCGACTCACCGGACCAAATATTGCCGGTACTTGTAATTTGTAAATCAGACGCTCACTCTCGGAGTCTCTTACGACCCCTGCATCGTCCTCTCCCATTCTACTATCCCAATTCGGCCATTGAAGCAGCCGCAACAGATCTCAAAAATGGTCAAAGTAGAGATTGCAGAAGAGGTGGAAGGAGATCGCTTCGAAACTACCGATTACTACTTCGAGAGAATCGGCGTACCTATCTCTATCAAAGAGGATGACGCTCACTACGATCTCGAAAACCCTCCCTCACAGTCTCTCGCTATCTCCGAACGCCGCCGCCTCGTTTTTCTACCACATTCCTCCGGTTAGTTTTCATAATCGCTGATTATGGTACTGATACAAGGTTTTTGCTCGTGCTGTTTAACGTATTTGACCATTTTTGTGTGAATATTAGGGTTTTTTGTTGGAAGGACCAAGGATGTAATTTCTGCTGCCAAGGATAGTAACGGGAAAGGTAGTAAGGTTTACATCCAGGATTTGAGCCTCGTTGATGTTCCTGTTGGGGACGTTCGTATATTGTCTCTCTCAGCGGATGATTCTATTCTCGCTGTCTCCGTCGCTGCTGATATTCATTTCTTCTCTGTCGATTCACTTCTTCAGAAGGTAATACGCCTCAGAAGCTCTTAAGCCTTTACTCTTTGCGGGACTTTATAGATCATCTCTTGTTCATGATGGGCTCTTCCTTAAGTTAGCTTCTTTACTTTCATTTTCTTCATTCTAATACTTAACTATACTCCTTTTCTCTTGGGAGTGGCGTTTATAAGCACACTACTATAAGTAGCATAACAAGCTGGATAGGTTTATCTATAGCCCATTGCTAGGATTTGGAATCTATGTCGATTGATATTTTACTCACTTTATCTCTCCTCTGCTGCAGGATGCAACACCTTCTTTTACATATTCACCTGATGAGTCGGGCTTTGTTAAGGATTTTCGGTGGACAACGAAAGATAAACATTCTTATCTTGTTCTTTCAAACCATGGGAAGCTCTTTCATGGAATTGATAATGCTCCCCCTAAACATGTTATGGATGGTGTTGACGCTGGTTTGTCTCATTTCTTTTGCTACTTCTTCAGTAATACAATAAACCATGTTACTGGCAATTATGGAAGATCGACTCTGTAGGAATTTATATGTTAACTTTGTTGTTTGTCAGTTGAATGGAGTTCAAAAGGGAGTTATATTGCTGTGGCTCAAGATAATAGCCTGCGGATTCTGTCGTCAAAGTTTAACGAGAAGCGGTGCATAGCACTATCGTTTGACAACTGGATTGGTGATTCTACTGAAAACTGTGTTGTGAAAGGTATGTTGCATCCTTCTTATTTCCTATCAGTATTTCCGTTTTGGTTCAAATTGCATAGTTGTTGTATGGTATGTGGGGTGTTTTCTTACGGACTGAGTCGTACTTTATCCCCACTGGGGATTCCTTCTGCTTGGACATAACATATTTGCAACGATACTGTTGAAATTTCTTGTTTCTTGCTATCTTCCATATATATATATGTAGGTTACAACCCTATAGTTCTCTATCTCTTAAAACTTCCATGTTTCTGTGAAAAACTTCCATTGAATTTTTTTGTAGATGGCTCTGAAGTCAAACTCTCTCAATAAATGATTGTTTACTCCTGCAACAGTTGATTCTATCAGATGGGTACGCCAGAACTGTATTCTTCTCGGATGCTTTCTGCTGATTGACGGCATGGAAGAAAATTACCTTGTTCAGGTTATCAGGAGTCCAGACGGGAAGATTACTGATGTAAGTAACTGATTTTCTTAAACGATTTTTTTATATGGAAATGATTCTATAGAATATGTAACTCTACTTGTATATTTTATCTAATTTGTGCTTATGTGAGCTTCTTCTTTGCAGAGTCAGTCCAATCTGGTTGCTTTGTCCTTCTCTGATTTGTTTCCATGTTCGATGGATGATCTTGTTCCGGTTGGTGTTGGACCTCACTTGCTCTTTAGCTACATAGACCAATGGTACTCCAAGCTATTTTTTCCGTTAATTATCTTCTTTTCATCTTGCGTTGCTTCTTATTTTTATAAATACTGAAATATTCCTGCCCACTGCAAGCCGTTTGACAGTCTTTACCACTCTACATTGAAATATTCTATCTAAAGATTTGTTTCCATGCGTAACTAACTTGGTAGAGCTATAAATAACCAATAATGTTTTCTCATGAGAATGGTTTTCATAATAAGAAACATGGACGAAGTAAATCATCAGTATTTGAAATGTTGAAGATGGTAACGTATTTTTACTTCCCTATATTTCACTCTACAGCAAACTGGCGATCACAGCAAACAGGAAGAGCATAGATGAGCATGTTGTTTTGCTTAATTGGTCACCCAGTGATGATCAAAGTGCAGTAACTGTTGTTGATATTGATCGAGAGACCTACTTACCAAGGATTGGACTCCAAGGTATGTGGTCCAGAGTTTCTGTATTTTATGTTTTTTTCCTTACAGTTACACGTTTGATATAAACAATAACATTTTTCTTCCAGAAAATGGAGATGACAATACGATCATGGGTCTCTGTACCGATACGGTTTCTGTTGAGGGGAGCGTTAAAGTCGGTACTGGAGATGATGATATGAAAGAACTCTCGCCATATTGTGTTCTTCTGTGCCTCACTTTGGAAGGAAAGCTGGTCATGTATAATGTTGCTAGGTACTCTCACAATGGTTTTACGTTTTTCTTTGTCATAACAAGATTACAGGATACATTATATTGTGTTCCTCTACAGTGTTGCAGGGCTCCCAACTACATCTGATTTTGATTTGGTCTCCTCTTCTGATATTGAAGATGCTTATGCCCCTTCAACTGGAGATGATCTTTCTAATCAGTCTTCTGAAGAGCCTGAACCACAATGGAAGTTGAATGCTTCGATACAAAATGAGAAGAGAAGCCTGACCTCGGAGAATTCAGTTTCTTTGTTACCTACCGAACAAAGGTTCCCAAATGAAGAAAATTCCAGAAAGGAAATCGAGTCTTTTAAAACTTCAGTGTCTGGGGACATCAACGGGAAACAAGCACCCTATGCTGAAAAATCATTACAAGCTGCAGATGCTCAACAAAGCATGGTTCCTAGGCAGTTCGGAACAAGTTTTGGGAAACCTCTTTTGTCCTCAGGATATGACACCAACAAATTTGCAGAATCTAGTTCTATCCTCCCTGTTTCTGATAAGCTTCAAAAAGAGAAATCTGAGCAGTCTAGTTCTCTGCATTTTCCGTCCAGTTTTAGTTCAAAGAGCACAGCAGCATCATTTTCATTTCCTGGGATGCAAAACGCTTTTGTTCCGTCACCAGAAAATACACCACCTCAGCCATGGTCAAGTGGGAAAGGCGTCTCAGCTCCAGGTTTTCTCTCTGGTCCTTTTCCTTCTGTGAAAGATACTCAGCATAAGCAATCTGAACAGACTGGATCTGATTATGTGAATCCTCCTACAACCTTCAAAGAGAAGCCTGTACAAGTTATTGAGTCTGCCAGAGCATCAGCTTTGGGAAATATAACTCCTCCGCAAGGCCAAAATCAGGACTCTGATGAAGGGGTAGAAAAAATCGAGCCAATTCCGTCTATCCGTGCCTCTCAATTGTCACTACAAGTGAAATCTTCCTTCGAAAAATCCTCAGGTCATCAGCAGCACAAATCTCCGCTCAATCCTGGACCTCTGATAAGTACACTATTCGCACATCTGATATTTGGGTATGATGAGGAATTACTGTGAAGTTTCAATATGAGATTAGCATACGCTTGCACTTTAAATGAGGTTCTTGCGTTTTACATATGTCGCTCTGATAGTCCTTAGGCTAAACGTTTTTCTTGTTCTCTGGTTTTCCGTATTGTATTTAATACCGTGTCATATCTTACGCTAGACTGCAAATTATCAGGCTGTTATCGCGTTTGTCTAATTGTTCTTTCTTGTGTGGATTTCAGTTTTGGCAAAAAAAGACATACATTGATGGTATGTATAAGCAAACTTCTGATAACCAGTACTGGCAACTTTGGAACCGCCAGAGGTTAAATCCTGAGCTTGAGGCCAAGCGGCAGCATATTACGAAACTAAACAAGGTTGTTTATGGGTTGATATATTTTACTCATCTATCTGCTACTTCCTTTTAAACTTGCTTTAGTCTTTTATTTTCTACTTTTCCCAATTCCCATCAGGATTTGACACCGCTCCTTCAAGGTATATTATTTATTAGTTGTGAATTTATAAAGCAGAAAATCCCATCACAAGAAATTGTTTAAGTTGGTCATGAACTCTCCTTCATTAAAACTGGGTTGATTCTCTCTGCAGACGTGTGCAGTCCCTTCATAGCCTTCATAACACGATGAGTTCCCAACTGGCAGCTGCTGATCAGCTCTCTGAGTGTCTATCAAAACAAATGACATTTTTAAAGCAAAGTCATGATCAAATTTGCTTCTGAAACGATCAGTCGCCTCGACTGTGTTTGACCAGACAGAAAAGAATGCTGGAGAAATTAAATTTTCAGAAGGCAAGGCAAACGTGTTTCTTGATACAGCTGCTGAATCAAGCCAAGGTTTTGGCGTTTAAACCAGTAGCAGTAACCCTAGTTATAAAATAACTTTTCCTGCTGCAACGGTATCAGCTTCATCTTCACGTTTGTCTAGAACGTCGCTTAATTCCGCTTCCACCTTATCTACACCATCTGCTCCTTCAGTGTCATCCTCTACAAAAGATTCAGGTATATTTAGTTTGACCTCTGTGTATATCGTGTGATCAACATTAAATACCTGGTCAATGACACTGCTGTTATCTTTTCAGTTCCAGCAACTACTCCCATCAGCTTGGCACCAGCTCCTCAAAAGTTTTCAGTCACATGGACATCTACAGTTTCAGCTACAAGTTTCAACGTTCCATTTGGTAAATCGTTGACCAGTGCCAATTTAGATCTCAATCAAGCGGCTACGTCAACACCTTCGCAACCACCTGGCCCCACAGCTGGTTTCTCTTTTAGGTTACCAGCTTTGTCTCCATCATCCCCTGAAATTGCCTCATCTTCAGCAGGCCAGTCTCTGCTACCAGTTCCCTAACAGATAATAATCTTTTGTTTTCATCGACCTCATCATCTTTTTCTGCCCCAGTTGCTTCGACCGCTCCTGACGCGTTTCAGTCTCCTCAAGCTTCCACCCCGTTTTCTACTGTGTCCATTACAGAGCCAGTAGTCTCAGAACCTAAAAAGCCAGAGGCTCAAAGTTGACAATTCCAAAGTACGGAAAATACTGTAGATTCTGTAGGAAATGCAACAAAATCACAGACTGAGCTGCTGCCAGTGAAAAGTGAGATTTCAAATACAGAGACTACAGTAACCCCTGTCCGTTCATCTGGGTTCCTGTCTGGATTTTGAACACAGTCTAGTCCTGTAAGCACGGCATCTCCTTCATTCAGTTGGCCAGGTAGTTCGCAGCCGCAAAAAGTAATATATTGTGGAACTGTTGTTGGTAGATGCAAAACTATTTGAAGAAGAAAGAACAGAAAGCTCAACGGGAGAAAGATCTTCGTGAAGGGCTTCAGTTTTCCAAGTAAATCATCCTCTGTGGTTCTTGATTTTGTGAAACAATGGAAAGTGAGTGTTGACTTGTCTCTCTGATTGATGTAGGAATGGTAAATATGAGGAAGCATTGGAGAGGTTTGAGTCTGTGTTAGGATCTAAACCAACAACTGATGAAGCCTCAGTTGCGAGTTACAATGTTGCTTGTTGCTACTCAAAGCTTAATCAGGTAAAAGCTTTATAACCTTCAGGTATTGCATTCTCAGTTTGCAGAGTTTATAAGAGTTTTCTTTATAGGTTAAAGCTGGTCTCTCGGCTCTGGAAGAAGCATTGAAGTCAGGATATGAAGATTTCAAGGTGAGTTCTAATGTTCATTTGAGTTAGTAAGAGATGTTTTGCTTGTTGTAGCTGAGTAATTAGTCTTTGTTTGCAGAGAATCCGAAGCGATCCAGACCTTGAAAATCTCAGGAAGTCTGAGGATTTCGATCCACTCATGATGCAATTTGATGAATCTTTAACAACGAGAGTGCCATTAACGCCATCAAATCCTTGTTTGGCTTTAACAAGAAATAGTCCTCTTAAAGTTTTATGTCAGTTGATGTGATCTGTTCATAGCTTTCCCTTCTCTTCTTGGCTATACATACTTGTGACTTGAGAGGAATTGTATCCAATCGTAAAGTGTTCTTTTTTACTTGTGAATTTCTTTTACCGTTTGCGTCAATTTATAACTTTTCATATGAAATGAAAATAAGTTTTCAAAAGTTAAGACTAATATAAAGCAAGAACACATATAGCCTACCTTTACTCCAGGCTAAGAATCAGTCCACTTCTGATGACCTTTCCAAGACTAATGCTTTATATTAGTGCTGCCGTGTCATGACCTGAATTTAGATCCATTTTTGATATTTTCAAGGATACATAATTTCCCAAGATTAAAAAGGAATCTTGATTTATACATATGATTGACTCAAAATTTCAGTTCACACAGCAACACACTCTCTTGTCCAAAATCATTACACTTCCGCTCATTCATCTATAGCAAGCTAAAAGGAATCACTCTCGGGAGAATATTCCCCTATCTCCTCAGTATCCATATCCTGAAACGAGAAGTAAACAGAATCAGTAATGAGACATGAATGTGATGGATCTTTACAGGAGTTTCAAAGTATATGAATGTCTGAACGAACCTGAGTTGTCCATTGGGTTGCCTGCGGGAACTGGCTCAGGCTCCTTGATCTCAACAACAACACAGTCTGACATCAAGAATGTCTTTGCAACCGAAGCTGCGTGTTCCAAGCAACATCTCACAACCTATACATTCAAGATAAAGCCACTCACTCAGGTAGATGGTTTCTGTATGCAAAAAAACTGACCTTTGTTGGATCGATGATTCCTGCAGCCATTAAGTCTTCGTACTTGCCGGTTGCAGCATTGTAACCGAATTTCACGTTATCGTTAGAAAGCACCTGCCAATGAATTAAAGAAACAGCTCTTCAAGCATCTGATTTAAACCAAGAGCACAAAGCGTGTGTGTATGGAGGTTTTCTGTTAAGTTACCTTCTCGCTTACTACGCTTCCATTGACTCCAGCATTCTTGGCAATCAGTTTCAGAGGGTAACTCAATGCCCTTTTCACGATATCTGCTCCAACCTGAAGTAAAGGAATCGGAGATGTTAGAAAACATGGAAGTTTTAGGAGTTAGAAGCAGAAGGTTTGATCGTTTTACCTTCTCTTCATCATTTTCAAGGGTGGCTTTGATGGCATGAACCTTAGACGCAAGCCGAAGTAGAGTGCAACCACCGCCAACGACAATACCTTCCTCCACAGCAGCCTAAAGAGTTGAAACCATCATCAGAAATAGTTCACGAGTACTCGCTTTTAAAGCCTCCTCAGAATTTTTTGTTTACCTTGGTAGCATTAAGAGCATCTTCAACTCTCAGCTTCTTCTCTTTGAGTTCTGTCTCAGTTTGTGCTCCAACCTTTTAATCAATACAAAAGAGCTTTACTTAATATCTCTGGAACACATTCTGAAACAGACAAAGGGTACTAATGGGAGTTTGTAATTAACCTGAATCACAGCAACTCCACCAGAGAGCTTTGCAATTCTCTCATTCAGTTTTTCCTTCTCATAATCTTGCTCCGCTTGCTGCACAAACCAAATACCATATTACTGTAACTACGCTATCGACAAAAAGTAGTAGAGATCCCATATATGCTCTACTCTTCTACTACAAGTTGATACCTCAATAAGATTCTTAATCTGTGTAACACGCTTTTGCACTGCGTCCTGTGTGCTTCCATCACCCACAATGGTCGAAGTCGACAACCTTTGCGGCATTACCAAGAACCTCTTTTCCAGCTTTTTCAAGTGAAAGACCAACTTCCTCTCGAATCACAGTTGCTGCAAGCGCAGACAAAAAAAATAGTGAGTACAAGATTAAAACCACAAAGACTAGGACTAAACACAATGCTCAGAAATGCACACAGAACATACCTCCAGTTAGAATGCCAATATCATCAAGATACTGGCTCTTGCGCTCTCCAAATCCTGGAGCTCTGAGAGCTGCAATTTTCAGGGTGCCTCTAAGCTTGTTAACAACAAGAGTCGCCAAAGCCTCCTGCTCAATGTCTTCGGTATCCTCCTCTAATCGCATCCTCCAGAACACCAACAAGATCTCTTGCATTGGTGATTTTCTTGTCAACAAGAAGCAACTGCAAATCATAAAATACATTAGAGATCCTTATACTCATATAAATATCTGTAGAGACTGAAGTATCTGCCTATAACATTCAACTGCTGCAACACTTTGATGGAGTGGGATCAGAATCAAGAAGCATTTACCTTGCAGTTGTCGAACTCAACCGACATTTTCTCACTGTCTGTGACAAAGTAAGGGGAGATATAACCACGATCAAACTGCATTCCTTCTACTACGTAGAGGGCGTTCTCGGCACTTTTACCCTCCTCAAGGGTCACCACACCCTTCCTGCCCACTCTGCTCATTGCTTCGGCAATCATACTTCCAATTTCTTCATTGTTACCCGCACTAACAGCTGCCACATCTGCAAGCTCGCTGTCTTCAACCTGCATCGACATGAATCCTTTTCAGAACTTTTTGTTATAGACTTGTCACATATTAAAAGAAAGAGAGTTCTATAAAATTATAACCTCCTTAGACATTTTCTTGAGCTCGGCAACCAAAGCCTTTGCTGTCTTCTCAATACCTCTAGTGATCAATACAGGGTTTGCTCCAGCAGCCACCACCTGAATGATACAAATTTTAAGATTAAGATCAACAGTCTTTGGGTTTCACCAGAGAAAAACTGAGCTGAAAAAAGAAAGTTACACAGACCTTGACACCCTCAGCGATAAAGCCTTGTGCAAGAACCACAGATGTTGTAGTTCCGTCACCTGCCAGGTCATTGGTCTTGGCAGCTGCTTGCCTAACAAGCTTAGCACCAATATTCTCAACCGGATCTTCCAACTCAACCTAGAGAGAAAGTCTGAAATTATAAGAGTCGGTTGAATGAAAATAAATAAACATCATTATCAGAGGGGTAAGACTTCCATACCTCTCTTGCAACAGTCACACCATCATTAACAATTCTTGGTGAACCATACTTGCTCTCAAGAACAACATTTCGTCCTTTAGGTCCAAGTGTAACACCAACTAGGTCTGCAAGCTTGTTGACACCAGCCTAATACAACAACAAGCAATCAGAAACCAGAGTAATTACAAACGTCCTCGTTGAATCCATTGAAAACAAAGGAAAGAGACAGATATACTCACTTGAAGTTTCCTAATGGTAGTGCCGTCTTTGTTGAAATGCAATTCTTTGGCAGCACAAACAATTCCAGAAGTGGATCTCCTGGGTCTGGGGCACACAATTTGCCTCTTTCCGAATGAGCTTGAAGATAACTTGATCTTATCCGATTTGTGACCATTTGGAGCAACCATGGAGCCAATGGAAGACGTTGCTGTGAACCAATGGAGGTTCTTCACCGGCTAAGAAAATGGCAAGTAGGTCTATCTGCTCATTCTCGCTTGTGAGGCTTCCCTTTTTAACTTACCGAAGAAGCCACCAGATGGTTGGCTTAAATGCAACATGGTCTAGAGGGTATTGAGGGACTCTCTGGAAAAGTAGTTAAATCTCCACACAAACCGTCTTGCACTTCAACTTTGGTCAAATCTGAAGTTGGGCTAGGGATTCTCTACACTGACAAATACTACTTGATTGATTGCTGAGATTTTTGTACTATATGCACTTGGAAATGGAATATAGGTTTTTTTTTTGGATAAGCATTTTGAAAAATGAAACGCTTAATAAAGAACAACATGAAGAAAAACAGATCAACCATAGGAATCCAAGCAGAGTTTAAACAGAGAACAACAGATCAACCAAACAAAACACATGAAGATAGTTTTTTTTTGGGTAAAATAAAATAAAAAGGCTATGCAAACCATAGGAATCCAAGCAGAGTTTAAACAGATAACATAAACAAAAGGAGAAGAAAACACATGAAGATAGTTGAATCCAGCATTACTCTTGCTCTAGCACCACTTTAAGCTTTCGTCTTCAAAGGTTTCAAAAGTTTCGTCTAGTAGGTTTGGGGGACAAGTCCATTCACTGATTCCAGATTCATACAGGCGTCCTACTAGTGAGGAGTCGCCATCTTCCTCCAGGCTTTGCCTATTACGTGCAAACACAACATTGTGACCTCTCGATTTCATAGTCACAAGAATATAGACCATCAGCTCTTCTGAGATATTTGCGAGGACAATAAAATTTGCTACTTCGCCTTGTTGCAATTTGCCATGGCGGACAATAATGTCATGTACCATCTCCGCAACTTTCAAACGCTTATTATCACCTGGAATTGTCACACCCCCATGAGAAAATAGTTCAAACAATAAAATAATAATAATAATCATAACAATAACTATAACTTCACCTTGATCATCATGATGACAGTAGCGATATCGAAATCCTGCATGAGTATATTGCCTCTTCAAGTCTGCCGGCATTGATTTAAAAGTGTCACTATAAGCCGTGGGTGACAAACCTCCATGATAACCCTGACTCCGAAGATATGATTGGATATTACCAAAAATCAATCTAGGGTTGTCAAAATTGGGGCTTGGCCAATCATCCACGTCCCACAAAACGTATGTTTTAGAGTCTGCGAGGTGTAGAAATGCATCAACAATTAGGAAACGAGAACAAGAGAAAACAGATCCATTCAAAATCGACGATTTGATCCGGATCCGCTACTTTTCAGTTTACACAGATGGAGCAAGAAAGAAAACTTACACGCGAATTCGCCCAGGCACATGGTTTCCACGGTCGACAGATTTTTGAAGAAAAAGAAGATTAGGGTTTCGTTAGATCTGTGGCTGCCAACAGGCTATCTGGGAAGCGGTGGCTTTTGCAGCGTACGAGAGACGCTATTTAAAGAATAGTCCTTAGTGAGTTGGGCGTTATTTCAATTTGGGCTTTAAGGAAACCAAATAAAAATCTAAACTAGGCCTTGAATCTTATTATTTGTGGTTATTGGTTTATGTTTTTTCGAATTCGCGCGTGTAAGTTATCTTTTTTTTTTTTTTTTTTTTTTAAATCCGGGTCTGAGGTGTCGACCGAACGGTCACGGACCAGTCTTGGGACCCAAACCGATGATCTGAGCTTTGTCCAACTGTATCCAGTTATTCCGAGGATCTAACCCGAACGGAAAATCGACTATACCCTCGAAAGAGATCCAGGACCCCAACGGAAAGGGATGTTAAATCCGTTGTGGCCAAGTGGTTTCGAACCCGGATCCGTATTGGGACTTACCTCAAGTACCACTGGATATAACCACTTGGTTAAGTTATCTTTCTTGCTCCATATGTGAAAACTGAAAAGTAGCGGATCAAATAGTCGATTTTGAATGGATCTGATTTTTCTTGTTTTGAATATCGGAATGCACGATTTAACTTCTACTATGACGAAGGTGGAGTCATTATTATTCGTTTAATTATATTTTTAAACTATTTACTCCGGGTCTCATGGGGGTTGTATGTTAGAAGACATTCTTCTCTGCAATTGGGAACTTTCAACAAGGCCAAGTAGCAAATATTGTTGTACTCGCAAATATCTCAGAAGAGCATATGGTCTATGTTTTTGAGACAATGAAATCGAGAGGTCACAATGTTGTGTTTGCACGTAAAAGCCAAAGCCAGGAGGATGACTCCTCATCCTCATTAGTAGGACGCCTTTCTGAATCTGGAATCTCGGAATGGATTTGTCCAAACCAACTTGACGAAATCTTAGAGGACGAACGCATACAAGAGTTCCATCATTAAATCCTTGGATTCAACTATTGTTCTTGGGTTTTAATCTCCTTTTGTGTAGTTGATATTTTCTCTGTCTAAACCTGCTTGGATTCCTTATTGTTTGCATAGCTTTATTCAGCTTTTCATTTTTTTTTCTTCTTTTCAAATTGCTTATCCAAAAAGAGCTATATTCCATTTACAAAAACCTCCTCCGAAACAGCAATCAATCGAGTAGTATTTGTCAGTGTAGAGAAATTTCTAGCCAAAAAAAATTGACCAAAGTTGAAGTGCAACACTTTTTGTGTGTGTCCATTTTTGGTGTGGTTATGTTGGATGAGAATTTGGTTGTAAGCTTTTTGAGACTTTTTCCGGAAAGTATTAGCTCATTTTCTCTAACGGTGTCAGGGTATATGGATGAGTGTTTCCTTATTTTGTCAAATTGTGTCGCCTTAATTGTATTTTCTCTGAATCTGTTTGCTTGGGTTATCACTATTATATGAGACCAGCCAAGGAACACGGTGTAGTCTGGACTCTATACCGGCCGACGTCAGAGGAGAATAGTATTTGGAAACTCATCAAGCCTACAACCCACCGTGTTTTTCAGAGCTTCGAACAACCTAGGGCCAAGACCAGTGAGACGATACTATTTTGACATCTATGTGTTGGAATTTGAAGGTTTGATGATAGATATATGCATTTTAGAATATAGGTTTTGCTTGGGGGGTCAGTAACGTTTGACTAAGCGCAATGTTTTCCTCCCTTATGAAACAAAGCATTGTTGGAGAAAATGAAAAAAAAAAAAAAAAAAAAACATACAACAAAGAGTCCTTGAGAAAATAGATCAGATCGATTGTCCAGCAGTAGTGCTCTGCTCTTCCTCCCTCATCTTCCTCTTATCACCAACACTTTGTGAGCTTTCGGTTTCGTCGGTAGATCCTCCTCCTGAGAGGAATCTCCAAGGATAATGCAACTTGACCCAAGAAGGTTGCTCAGTGGTATTATCATCGTCATCAGGCATTGCAAATAAAATATGGTAATAACATGATGCCAAAATCTCGAGGAAATCGAGGAAGGAGGTCGTCTTACCGACCATGTCTTTTGTGATTACCAAAAGGCTTGGATCCATTGTACAATGGCGACAATTGTCCGCAGACCACATATGGAAGTCCGCTGTTATCCTACGTAGTCTTTCAAATTTCTCCTCTGAGAGAGATCTAGATTAGATTAGATTGCAGCAGACATATTTATATATATATATATATATATATGAAGAGTAAAGGAGGAATTTTACCCATGACAGAGATGGTGGTGATTCCAGCGTCTCTATATTCCTGCACGGAATGCTTGGAGAAGGTTTTACCGCCAGGCAAATAAGCCCACACAAACACGTTACCAGCATAACCATTATTTTTCAGAGCTAATTTGATATTCTTAACAACCGTAGCCGGATCGAGGTGGTCAGGGATTGGGTAATCTTCTAAGTCCCAGAAGACGCCTGTCGAGCTATCACCTTTGCAAACTGATATTGGAGTGAGATCCATAGAGAGATATCGATCCAGAGACTCTAGAAGAAAATAAAAGATTAGGGATTTGTCAGATCTGTTCTTGACAGGTTATCTGCTGAAACGGTGGCTGCGTACGAAAGTGTTATATAAAGATTAGTCTTTACCCTTTGGTCGTCAGTTGGGCTTTATTTTAATTTGGGCTTTAAATATACTGAAACCCACCCGTAAAAGAAACCGGCAATTTTTTTATAATTAACATTTTGCTCATATGGATTTGATCTACTACGTTCCGGTTTTTATGTATTGTCTGTCTATAAGACTATAATCTATATTGTCCAATTTCAGGTGTGTACGGTAGCTAAGTTTTTGATCTACAACTTTCCAACTGGCTGCAAGAAAGGTAACTTGCTTTTCTCAAGTCTCAATACAGTTTCTTTTTTTTTTTTCTTTTTATAACAACACTGTAGCCAGGGCGTTTGGTCTAGTGGTATCATTCTCGCTTTTCATACCAAAAAAAAAAAAAACACTGTAGCCGATACAATTTTAGTTATTCTCTGTTATTAAAGAATACATTTTTTGTTTGTTGTTCAAAAGCTTGGCTTTCCGGCAAAGTTGAAGCTACTTTATACGTCTTTTTCTCTCTGTTTTTTAGTCCAACATACAGATAATGTATTACTCCCTCCATTTTTTTAAGATGGATTTTCTAGACATTAGTTGTTGTTTCACAAAGATAATTTTTTTACTTTTTTGATACACTTTTTCAGTTTTCAAGAAACAATGATTGTATTTGTTAGATTTTTATTGGTTGAAAATTATAAAAAGTTGTTTTATTGCATAAATCAATATACTAATGATTAAAAATCTGCTTTTCCTTAATATGTATGAAAATCCTAGAAAATTTATCAAAAAAAAACGGAGGAAGTATTATCTAGCTTCATTTCAGACTAGTTGATTCCACAACATATACGTTTTTCTGTCTATGCTTTTTGATCCAGAAATTAATTTTTGAAAACACAAAAAGCAAAAACCACAAACAATAAACAATCAAGGCCTAGATTAGATTATTATTTGGTTTCCTTAAAGCCCAAGTCACTAAAAGACTAGTATTTAAGCCAACGAAAACCTAATCTTCTTTTTGTTGAAAATTCTGTCGACCGTGGAAACCATGTCCAAGGGCGTATTCGCGTGTAAGTACGTTATCTTTGTATCTCGGTCGTCGATTTTGAATGGATCTGATTTTTCTTGTTCCCGTTTCCTAATTGTTTAAGCATGTCTACACCTCTCAGACTCTCGCACACACGTTTTCTGGGACGTCGATGATTGGCCAACCCCTTATTTCGAGAACCCTAGGTTGATTTTTCGTAATATAAAAATACATGTACGGGAAGAATTACATGTACGGGAAGAGGGTTATAATGGAAGATTGACAGCCATGGCTTATGGTGAAGCTTTTCAAACGATGTCGAATGACTTGAAGAAGGAATATCGGAATGCAGGATTTAACTTCTACTATGAAGAAGGTAAATTCTTCTTTATTACTATTATTACTATTGTTTTTAAACTATTTACTCCGGGTCTCATGTAGAAGACATTATTATCCAGGTGATAAATTTAGGAGAATGGCGAGTATGTTAGAAGACATTCTTCTCTGCACTTGGGAACTTCGACAAGGCCAAGTAGCAAATATTGTTGTACTCGCAAATATCTTAGAAGAGCTGATGGTCTATGTTTTTGTGACTATGAAATCGAGAGGTCACAATGTTGTGTTTGCACGTAAAAGGCAAAGCCACGAGGATGATGGCTCCTCATGCTCACTAGTAGGACGCCTTTCTGAATCTGGAATCACGGAATGGATTTGTCCAAACCTACTGGACGAAATCTTAGAAGACGAAGCGTTCGGGATGTAATTGTAATATATGCTGTACCTACCTGCCATCCTTAAATCCAACTATCTATGTTTTCTCTGTTTAAACTCTGCTTGAATTCCTATGGTTTGCATAGCTTTATTAAGCTTTTCGTTTTGTTTTATTTCAAATTGCTTATCCATAAAAACCTAGATTCCATTTCCAAGTGCATATACTACAAAAACCTCCTCCGAAACAGCAATCAATCAAGTAGTATTTGTCAGTGTAGAGAAAACAGGAAGAGGAAGAGGAACTTGCCTTGTTCTTGGTGGGGATGTAGAATGGCTCAAACACAAGTGGGAATGGAGTGTCCAGACCACATACTCTGCTTACTGGCGCTTCTAACTGCAGACCAAAACGACGGTTAAAAGAGTAATCTTCTCGTAAGATGAATTAAGCGTCCCTTTTTTAGTACCTTCAAGAAGCAACGTTCGAGGATTGTTGCAGAGATCTCTGCTCCAAAACCTCCAGTTACAGGAGCTTTATGGCTTATCTGCAACCCCAAGCACAATTTATAAGACCAACCAGACAAAAACAAATCCGACATTGTCAAGCAGGAAATATATCATCCGCAAACTGAATCTCTACAATAGCTCTATTTCCCTGACAAAGTCGAACATCCATTGATGTTAAAATCAGTTTACAAAAGAGTAACGCAAAACAAGAACTCACCATTGCTGCTAGAGACCAATGCCGAATCCAACAATCCCCTGAATCCAGCAAATACAAAATCCAGTCAAAGCTTAAAGAAATGAAAACACTTTAAAGAAACACAAGTAAGTGGATCAAGGATTTCAAAAAAGACATACGTGCTCGCAAAGAGGAGTGTTAAAGACTCTGTTTTTCCCGAATCGTTCGGCTAGACCTGTTGGCCTGTGGTTCTTGCACAAGGCTTGGTGATATTAATCTTAAAATTTGTATTGTTCAGGTTGTGGCTGCTGGTGCAAAGTGCAGACCCTGTATTGATCACTATAGGCATTGAGAAGAAAGCAAAGGCTTTGGTTGCTGAGCTCGAGAAAATGTCTGAGGAACTCTCTTTCTTTTTATATGTGACAAGTCTATAACAAAAGGTTCTGAAACTAGTCATGTCGCTGTTGGTTGAAGACAGCGAACTTGCAGATGTAACAATAAAGAAATTGGAAGTATGATTGCTGAAGCAATGAGCAGAGTGTAAAAGTGCCGAGAACGCCCTCCACGTAGTACAAGGAATGCAATTTGATCGTGCTTATATCTCCCCTTACTTTGTCACTGACAGCGAGAAAATGTCAGTTGAGTTTGACATCTGCAAGGTAAATAAATCTTGATTCTGAGCTCCTCACTTCATCAACTTTTCTAAAACCAAGATTGGATAAGAAATTAATTTTTGAAATAACATAAACCAAAAACCACAAACAATAAACAATCAAGGCCTATTAGATTTGATTTGATTTTTATTTGGTTTCCTTAAAGCCCAAGTCAGTAAAGACTAATCTTCTTCAGGCCACAGATCACAAATGTAACGAAAACCTAATCTTCTTTTTCTTCAAAAATCTGTCCAAGGGTGAATTCGCGTGTAATTTATCTTTCTTGCTCGATCTGTGAAAACTGAAAATATAATTTACATAAACAAGTTTCTAAACTATGTAATATACGACTCTAACTTAACTATGAAGACTTGATCACTTCCAACATTGAGAACCCTAGATTGATTTTTCGTAATATCAAATTATATCTTGGGGATGAGGGTTATCATGGAGGTTTAGGGTTTAGGGTTTAGGCTTATGGTGACGATTTTAAAACGATGTCGGAAGACTTGAAGAAGCAATTTATTCGTGCAGGATTTCAATATCAGTATTGTGATGAACAAGATGAGTGTTTATTATTATTATTATTATTATTATTTTATTGTTTAAATCTCCAGCTCTCTCATGGAGGTGGGACAATTCCAGGTCTATTATATAAGCTTGAGAGAGTTGAGAGGATGGTACAAGACATGATTCTCTCCTCTTGCAAATTCCGACAAGGCGAAGTAGTAAATTTTCTTGTCCTTGCAAATATCTCAAAATCGCTGATGGTTTATGTTCTTGTGACTATGAAATCGAGAGGTCACAATGTTGCTTTTGCACGTAAAAGGCAAAGCCAGGATCAGGAGGATGGTGACCCCTCACTAATAGGACGCCTTTCTGAATCTGGAATCAGTGAATGGACTTGTCCCCCAAACCTTTTGAAAGACGAAATCTTTGAAGCCGAAAGCTTAAAGTGGTGGTAGTCTGTATTCTGTAATGTTGGATTCCAACTATCTTCATGTGTTTTCTTCTCTGTTTTATTAGTTTATGATTTCTCTGTTTAAACTCTGCTTGGATTCCTATGGCTCATTGGCTTGCATAGCTTTATTAAGCTTTTCATTTATTTTTTCCGAAATTCGTAGCTCTCTGGATTAAAACAAAAAAAGGGTTAAAGCAGAGATATTTTCTAACATACAACAACAAGTCCTTGAGGAAATAGATCACATGGATTGTCCATCAGTGTTGTGACAGATATCCTCCTCTCTGGTCTTGCTCTTATCACCAACACTTGGATCTCCTCCTCCTGACAGGAATCTCCAATGCCATTTTGCTTTGACACAAGAAGGTGCCTCAATGGTATCATCATCAGGCAGTGCCCATAAAACATGGTAATCAGCTTCTTCAAAAATTCCTAGGAGACGGATGAAGGAGGTCTTCTTACCGACCATGTCTTTTGTGATTACCAAAATATTTGGTCCCACTCCATAAATCGCACGATTGTCCATAGACCACACCTGGAAGTCAATTAACATCCTATGCAATCTTCGATATTTCTCCTCTGAATATCAAGCCAGAGATCTAGAATATATTAGATTATATATCATATGTATATAAGTAAAAAAGATGGAGAGAAAACACAGGTAAGGTAGAGGAATTTCACCCGTGACAGTGATGGTGGTGATTCCAGCGTCTTTATATTCCTGCACTGAATGCTTCGAGAAGGTTTTGCCGCCAGGCAAATAAGCCCACACAAACACGTCACCAGTATAACCATTACTTTTCAGAACTAATTTGATATTCTCAACAACCGTAGCCGGGTCGAGGTGGTCAGGGATTGGGTAATCTTCTAAGTCCCAGAAGACGCCTGTCGAGTTCTTAGCATCCTTATTTGTGCTTCCCATGCAGAATGATAAAGGAGTGAGATCCATGGAGAGATATCGATCCAGAGACTCTTGAAGCAGATATGTAATTGCTTATTGGGGATTCGTTAGATCTGTGCCCTGAGAGGTTATCTGCTGGAAGGGTATGGCTGCGTGTACGAGCGACTTATATAAAGAACAGTCTTTGGTCAGTTGGGCTTTATTTCAATTTGGGCTTTAAAATACTGAAACCCACCCGTAAAGGAAAACCGTGATTTAGTTATTATTGCTCTGCACCAAATTCTCTCTTTATTATTGTGGTATGATTTTATTCGCTGTATTTACGTTAACAAATTGATTTTATTTCTTGAGTCCTAGTATAGAAATCATATTATACGGTCACATTTATTGCATATTGATCTCTATCATCTTATTATTCACACGTGACAATGTGACCTGCCACCCACAAATATAATACATGCCTCAAAAAGTCATATTGTTTTCTTGCTTAATTTTAAAGTAAATTAAACTCTGAAGTCAAAAAGTCTCTGTAATAAACTCCTTTTAAGCCAACTTGGAGCTTTAGATTCTCATATAAACACTTAAGACTAGATACAATCGCTACATATTTCAATGGATAAACTAAAACAACAATCTATATAGTTCCTTAAGAAACAAATTCAACGGCTAGTAATTGACAGTCGATTTGATTGCGTCCAATATCTGCATCAAACGTGAAACCATGATTTGTCAGAAACTGCGTTTATGGGGTCCGGAAGATAAAATAGGAACAGAAAGGAACTTGCCTTGTTCTTGGTGGGGATGTAGAATGGCTCAAACACAAGTGGGAATGGAGTGTCCAGACCACATACTCTGCTTACTGGCGCTTCTAACTGCAGACCAAAAGAACAGTTAGAAAAAGCAACTGAGCTTAACCTTATAGATAGATTAAGTTTTACTTTTTAGTACCTTCAAGAAGCAACGTTCGAGGATTGTTGCAGAGATCTCTGCTCCAAAACCTCCAGTCACAGGAGCTTCATGGCTTATCTGCAACCCCAAGCAATTTATAAGACCAACCAGATTGGAAATTGTCAAACAAGATTGCTTGAAACTTACAAGAAGTCTGCCAGTCTTTTTAACCGAGGCTTCCACGGTTTCTTTGTCCCAAGGCAACAGAGTCTTGAGATCTATCAGTTCACATGATATTCCTTCCTGTATTTAAACTCAACCCCCTGCGTTAATAACAACCGCGAACCAATCAATCAATCACCAAGCTGAAAGACAAAAAAAGCTAAAACCTTTTCCGCATCTAGACAAGCCTGTTCCATGACAGTAAGCTGAGCTCCCCATCCAACAAGTGTTATGTCATTGCCTTCTCTTATAACCTGACCATAACTCCTTCTTTGTCAATCTCAACTATTAGATCGTCATCTCCTAAAAACGAAGTGATTATTAATTATACCTCAGCTTCTGATAAAGGTATCATGTAGTCATGCTCAGGGACTTGTTCTACTGCTTGACGGTACAGCCACTGAAGGAAGAGTCAAAAGTTTCAAATACTTTTAAAAGGAAGCTGATTTTGGTTGGTGTTAAGAGAAAAAGGAAGCACCTTTGGTTCGAAGAAGACAACGGGATTTGGATCACGGATACATGACAACAAGAGTCCCTTTGCTTCTCGCGGACTCCGAGGGACAACAACCTTAATACCAGGGACATGGCAGAAGAAAGCTTCAGGGGATTGTGAATGGTAATGTCCACCATGACCAACCGCTCCATACGGTGCTCTTATCGTTAGTCCTACAAAGATTCAAGCCTAACGATTAAAAAGAGACTATTGCACCTAGTGATGTGTGATGTCAAGTCAAGAAGAAATATACCTCCACAGTTGAATTGGTTACCACTTCTGTATCTGAACTTTGCGGCTTCATTAACAATCTATGAAAATCAAAAACTCAATCAGAAACCAAAATCAGATTTATTGGTTAAAAGGTGTGAACACTTACTTACCTGATCAAAAGCAGGGAAAATATAATCCGCAAACTGAATCTCTACAATAGCTCGATTTCCCTGTCAAAATCAAACACCCCTTATATGTTAAAATCCCAGTTTATAACAGAGAACACAAGTGTAAGCACAAAGAAGAAGTCACCATTGCTGCTAGACCAATGCCGAATCCAACAATGCCCTGAACCAAGGATATACAGAATACAGTTAAAGCTTAAGAAATGAAACACTTGTAAGAAACAGACAAAAGTAAGTAGATCAAGGATTTCACAAGGACGTACTTGTTCGCAAAGAGGAGTGTTAAAGACTCGTTTTTTCCCGAATCGTTCAGCTAACCCTGTTGTGCATCGGAAGACTCCACCAAAGCCAACATCTTCCCCAAAGACATAAGAGCTTCCACAAATACTTCAAAGTCAATACTCAAGAACAAGATCATACATATTTCAAGGAATCAAAGGTGTTAACTAACTAACTAACTGTCACTCATAAACTTCCAAATTCGCCGACATTTTGACGTTATTCTTCTTCCTTTAGAATATATTTCTGAGCATCAGTGTTAAACAAGCTTCGCTACTGCAAGCTCTTGAAGCAAAAGAAGGAAAATCTCACCGGGGATCAGTATCCAAGGCGATGTGAAGAGCTTGATTGATAGCAGAGTATAGATTCAACGATTTCACGGTTTCCGATTCACAAGCCGTCGTCGATAATCTCTTTCCTCCGTGAGCTGATCCCGGAGAAACCAATTTACGGCCGAATCTGCCTAAAAGAGTCGCCATTTACGCAAAAGATCGACGCTTTCGTCAAATCCAACAAACAAATCAATCTGAAATATGACGTGTTACCCAACGATTGCGACTAGGGAAAGGAAAGGATTTATTTCTGGCAAGAGACTCTTTTAGGTGGCAAAAGTTTCTAATTTTTTTGGCTAAAAGTTAGAAACAGATATCTAGTTAATCACGGAGCTTTGAAGATTGAAGAAGATGATACTCCTGCCACGTCGGATCCGACACGGACAACTTTTGTCCCGAATCGTTATCTTTGAATCTCGCAAGTGCAAGTGCAATTTTTTAACCAATTTAATCCACTAATGCTCTGATTTTTTTGTTGTTGACAGTATACCAGAGATGTGTTAACCCGAATAATCCAATCAGCTTCTTAGAATTTGAAGAACAAAACATTTCGCATAACTTGGGACCAAAAGACAAATGGAGGAAGAAAGAGGGCAAGCAAAATACATAAAAAAATTCAAAAAATCTTCAGTTAAACGGAAGAGAAAACGAAATAAAACGAACCAAAAACATTAATGGAAACTAACTTTCCAAGTCATCAGATCTTCTTTCATCAACGGCAGTCTGATTCCCATTCAGGGTTGCAACTTGTAATGTATTTCTACAACTTCTCTCGCGTTGCGTTTTAGGGATCTTATCTCTCTCTCTGCAAGGATTTTGTCTTCTGAAGACTCTGAGAGCTGCCGTGAGATCCCATGGTAAAACCTAGCAACCATTTGAAACCACTCCAACCAGCTTGTCGCCATTTGAATCCTTTGCCTCAGTAACATCAAGCTCGCTAGTAGGTTGAGTTGCTGAACCAGATTCATTTGCTATATCAGCAGTCACAGCTTTCTTCTCTTCTTCATTAGTTTTTCCTTCCCAGACCTGTCAAGATATATATGGGTGCATTTCAATGTCAGCAAAGAGATTGGTAAACGCAACTGCAAAAACTCTATCGGATCAACTTGTTTCTTCTTTGTCTTACCTGCTTCTGTGATCGCTGCTGCTTAGCTTTCTTCTCCAAAATTGTCTTTTGTCGATCCTCGTAGAAGGAAAAATCATCCAATATGCATGTTTTGCTGTTATGCTCCTTGAAAATCTTGATAACATTCAAACCCTGCTCCAGCTTAACCTATACATATGATCCCAAAAAGAAACTTATCAACGGATATTATGAGTTTATGACTAGCAGAACAAAATCAGATATGTTAAAAAACTTACCTCTTGTGTGTCTCTACTGTTGGTAACAGGTTTGTTCTCATTGTTCTCAAGAGTGATATGCTTCAGCAAACTGTTGGGCACATCCTTCACTATGTGCCACTTGAGGGGAAAAGAGCCAGTCCACTTATCCTGTTGCCAGTACTCAATGTTTTTGTTGAAATCAACTGGACCTATCATCTCCGCAACCCCAACAAACTGTCCACTTCCGTTGACCGAGAAGAATAGAAACACAGGGCAGCCACCAGGTTTCTGCTGAGCCTGCTGATATGCAGCATCGAGCTTCTTGTTTCCATTTGGAGTGCTAGCCCAAACGTTATATTTGATGCTCTTATGCACATCATCTTCACTGTAGGACTTGATGATAAATAGCATAGCATCTTTATACTCAACCGGGAAATCTTCTTTGTTGTACTCTTCTCTATCTGGAACAACGCATGTTACAGTCTCCTCGGTCTCAGTTGTTACGTTTGATTCGTCACCCGGCTGCTTCTTCACCTCCTCTGAGTTAACTTCTAAGGTGTCTTTGTTCTTCGCTCCCTTGCCTCTAGGGCCCCTGTTGAGTTCATTCAAGCCATCAATGTTCTCATTTCCGTAAAAGTAATCGTTACCCCTTCCCCAGCTTCTATATCTGTTCTCTGAAGTCACCCAGCCTCTTTCGTTTGTTCTTGAATCATATCCAGAAGAACCAGATCTACCATACTGACCATATGACCTGTCTGAGTACACTCTGTTGTAGCCACCCTGAGCTGCATAACCTGTTCCAGGCTGGTGCAAACTCTGCAGAGAATAGATTAAGGCTTTCAGTTATAGAGATTAAAAACTTCTCCGTCAATCAGAACAATATTCAGCTTATTAAAACAAAGAATCAAAACTCAGAAACATATCATACCGTGTAACGCGAGTTTGAGCGGTAGTTTTGATTCCTTGACGCAGGTGCATTGTTAGCCTTAGAGTATGAGGATGCAACTCCACTGCCAGAAACAGACCTCTGCACTTCTGAGAAGTTAGAGCCATCATACCATGACACAGGAGCGTAATACCCATCATAGCTAAACCTGGGATCCTGGTAACCAGCAGCAAGAGCACTGTTTCCATACAAATTACTCGAGGTATTGAGCGCGCTCTGCCTCTGGTTGAATGGTTTAACAGGAGCTGATCCATTAGTTCCTTTAGGGACACCACCCTTTGAAGCACCAGTAGGTGCATAGTTATTGGTAGCTTTGTTGGTAAGGTGCTTGCTCTGGGTAGAGGCAGGAACCGATGAAGCGAAAGGCGCACTACTGGTTGTGAGAGGGAAGTAGGAAGGATACTGATAATGCTGAGCACCATACAACTGTCCATCACCACCAACTTGTGGAGCAGGGCTTGTTGCTGGTGAGTAAGGATATGCTGCATACCCATATCCCTGTGGATAGACAAGAGACGCGTTCTCTCCATAAGCTCCCTGGAGAAATAACCAAATGATTAAGCAGGGCAAAAGGCAAGGAGAATAAAAGGGCTGCTCATTAGAGAAAAGGATAAATACACGTACTGATGTCATGTCAACACTCTGGGAATTGGTATAACCTGTGTATTCACTGCCATACCCTGAAAAGATTATACAAAAGGTTGTGTTTTTATTACAACCACAAGTCTAGACTGTGCAAGGAAGGCGATAGACATGGAAATAGAGATTGGTTACCTCCATAGAAGTACTGATACCCGTTTGGGAGGTAGTAAAGAGAAGGGTCAAAGGCATTCGAATCCACAGCTCCATATGGGTAAACAGGCGTCTGCAGAGATGATGGCAATGGCATGAGAAATTGATAAAAACAAACAAAAACACCAAAAAGTTGAAATTTTTCTTCTTTACCTTGTTAGTTGACTCGGGGATGTTCAATGACCTTGACTGTGAATCTAGAGACAGTTTCTGCAATATATCAGCAGCTTCTAGTAACAGCAACAACAAAATTGAGTCAAGGAAACAAATTTACAAATCAATCGAATTCTCTTTTTATAAATCACTTTGCTAGACGAAGAACTTATCAAATCCATCGATGCAGCAAAGTAGAGAGATGGAAATGACAAATCTGTGTAATAATAATTGAGGAAAACTATATGAATCGGAGAAACCGATACGAATCGAGAATTTCGAAGCGGTGAGAGATTCGATTCAGGATCCCAGATCGAAATGGAATAAGAGATCGGAAAAGGATACGATCAGCAGGAGTAGCGACGGTAGACATGCGAACAGACTTTGGCGACGGAAGATTGATGGAAGAAGGAGAAAGAGAGTAGAGAATCCAAAAAATCGGAAAAACCCACGAGGAATCTAGGGTTTAAGGAAGGTTTCGGGTGATTTTGCCTGGAGCCGCCAACGGAAGAGAAAGGGATCTCTTTTGTTCGGAGGAGAGAGAGAGAGAGAGGCAAAAGAGGTTTTTTTGTTCTTTAACGTCGATTGATTCAAATACCTCCACGAATCCTTTCTTTTTCACCTTTTTATTGTTTTTTCAATAATAAAAATATCTTTGAGAAAAATAGCACCAAAATTATTATTTTTTCAAGCCTAACGAAACTAATTTAAATTTTCAAGAATATAATAAACTATATCTATATGTATTAGTATTTGGTTATCCTCCTCCCCTTACAAACAAGATTAGAATTTAGAACATTATGTTTAAATTATATTTTTTTAAATTGCTCTCGTCAAAAATATATCAAACCTGTGCTGTTATTATAATACGCATATGTGTCAAGGGTCCAATAGAGAACCCAATAGAGTATTGATGCAATTGCAAGTCATGGACTCATAAGAAAACTCAAGCAATAGCATCAATATAAATTCATAAACGTGTTCCAACTGGAAGTTTGCTTAATTCATGTTACGTTATTCATAAGAAAGAAAAATACAGGCCATTGCTCCGAATCCGAACCATGCATGCATATATGTATTACGTCAATACACCGATCTACTAGTGACGGCTATTTCAATCAATTAATCACTTGAGTTGAGATACGCGATTTTATGTTCTGCTCAGTTTCTTCCGTTTGAGACAGACCATTTCTTAACTCGAGCACTTGCTTGTTGTGCCTAATAATTTAAAACAAACGACAAAACAATTGTATTAAATCACATGTACATGAAAAACCATATAAGCAAAGCCAAAAAGCAAAAGATTTGAGTTACGTACCTCTTTCTCCCAGTCACATCTCATAACAATAAAGATGAGTATCAACGTTTGAATCCCGGTTCCTCCGAAAATCATACCAGCCCAAATGCCCTATCAACATAATCACAATTATATAAATATAGAGACTAACCTTGGAATATAGTATTGCTAATTACCTTGACACCAGACTTGAAAAACCAGCCCATGAGAAATCCGAGTGGAACTCCAATGAAATAGTAACATCCCAAATTTATATATGCAACGAATGATTGCCATCCCGAACCAATCGCAACTCCTAATCAAAAGTCAACATTTGAACTAATACAACTATTGATGCGCGGTTTAATCATTTTGGAATGAAAAGAGAAGAAGCAGAAAAGAAAAAGAATTTACGTACCTGAGAGAACTGGTTGAACACTGTTGAGTAGAATCGTAAAGGCTAAAAGAATAGAGAGATCATTGACTGCTTTTATGACGATTTCACTTGAAGAGAAAATCCAGCCGATTTGATCATGAAGAAATACGACAAGTACTGAGAAAATTATTCCAATGATTAACGATTGTGTCACTGATATCATCATCGCAAATCTTGCTCTTTTACCATTCCCTGCTCCTAATTCATTAGCCACTCGTACGCTACAAATACAGGTTATCATATTAATTACATAGCAACTTAACTAGCAAAAAACTAATTTAGGACAACACACTTGAGTTATACCCCGTAGCGGCCAGGAAGGCAATTGGAATCATCAGTTCCAATCCATCTAGCGATATGCTGCCAAATGAAAATTATAAACTTTTGTTGAGAAAAAGATGTGATGGAATAATATCATATAAAATAAGTTCATACTCCAAAAATAAATATTTGACGTACCATATAGACAAAGAGTCGATGGCAATTTTTGTGTCCTTGAGATTCCCAGTCATCACAATTAAAATCTTATAATACCAATTCTCCAAGCTGTTTTTGATTAAAAAATCTACCGTAAGAAGTTGTGTTTCCATCCGTAAACCAAACAGAGTTTGCAACAAAAGTGGCGTTTAACTAAAACAGTACCAAAGCATGACTCCGGAGGAGGCAGAGAGCTTAGCAAAATCCCATAGTCCGGTGAAAGCTTCGATGGAGAAACCGGTCCAAGTGAGCGGACAACCGCCACAAGTGGCATAACTAAATAATAGGAAGACACAGAGCCACCATGCCACGTTAACAGTAGCCATGGTTCCTATGACTCCGAGTTTAAGACCGTACACAAATAGCAAGCACACAAATATGTGAACTACAAGTGCCACTCCAGCAGAAATTGCAATCACCTGGTGGTAATGTACGAGAAAAGTAACCAAATTAACACCATCCAGAAACTATTCACTTGTTAGATTTTGTATTATACTGTTATCAATAATTGTTTATACATGTGTTACTGAAAAGTAACCATTTATATTTTATGTGTCCCAAAATATTTTGAGTAACATGTTTTAAGGCTTTTGACTTTTGAATGGAGCGTTTGGGGCCCTTTTTCGCTTACCATTCACAAATAGAGCAGTCTAGTCCACAACAACACTTAAACTATAGATTTTTGAAATCTTAAGTTACGTACGTACCATATTCTTGAGCTGGCATTGGAGGAATCGATTGAGAGGGAAAAAGAAGACAAATGAAAAATGGACAGGAATGACCCAAACGGCGATAACACCGGACAGCTCTGCGATGTCGTCAGGCTGGCCCAAGAACTTAAGAATTGGAGAAGCAAAGATGTACATAGGGAGGAGCAAGATTGCACATAACGACAGAACAATCCAAGATCGCTGCAAATACACTCCCATCATCTCATGCTCCTTTGCTCCAAACGCTTGTCCACACAGCGTTTCCAACGCACTCGCCATTCCAAGCTGCACATATATTCTCTACATTAATATATATAAGTGATCAAGAGAACTTAAATAAATGTTTGTGTCTATGTGCATGTATACGAGGAGGCTGAAGTTGAAGCCGATGATGAGGTTGTTGACAATGGAGATGGCGGCGAGTTCAAGCTCGCCGAGGTGGCCGGCGAAGGCCTGAGTGATGACGAGGATCGAGTAAGTGGAGAGTCTGGTGAATATAGCTGGTCCAAGGATACGCCATAGCATCTTCGTCTCCATCCATACTTTTCTCTTTATTTCTCCGCCTTCTTCCTCCTCCTCCGTCGCATTTAGATCCCTTAACAGAGGTATTCTCATCTTCTCTACACCTTCCGCTTCCTCGTCTTGGTCTCCCATGGCCAATCTTCTGTGAATAAAAAAATAAAGAGAGTATAACTATATATACTAATACTACTATACGTGAAACATGTGATGATGATGATATATAGGCCAAGTAAAGACGCCAAGACTTGTGGCACTGGCACCACTATCAGTGACGGATCTAAAAAAATCTCACTTACTCTTTACTTATTCAAGGTTTAATGTAATACCTTATCTTATACAAACTGGAGTTGATGTTCACGTGAATATATCATGTTGTATAATTACATTCATTAAATTGCGAAATGTGACATAATGTGTCAAAAGTTTTTGTGTTTGTATTTATTTATCTTTATGTTAGGTGATTTATAGCAAAAAGTTTACAAGTTAATGACAAAACGAATACAATAAATAAGCCATGGTTGGTGGAGCAGGTGGTCTTTGAATGCGACCCAACTTCTGCTCTCTCTAAAGCTAGGACATAGAATGAGTACAACAACTGATAAATCGAATCCAGAAATAATAATGCAAAAGGCAGCGTTGACGATTCTGATTTGGTTTTCGATAATAGCAAAAGCACGATTCTGATATGGTTTACTAAAATTCTTAATGACTGAAACAGTGAAACCTCTTGGCATAACGTAAAATTCACTTTCAACAAAACTCCATAAACCAAATTAATTGAACAACGTAAATGATTTTCTCAGTTGAAATGTCAAAGTTTGATGAACAAAGTCATGAGAAAATCAAAGATTTTTTTGTTTGTTTCAACTCTCATCCATTGCATCCTTTGATTGCGTTGAAACCGAGTCCTCAAGTGCCTCAAGGAATGAGTCAACTGTGAACTTATCTGCAATAAGAGTTTACACGGTTCATTGTAAAAACGAGACAGCAAAAACACATTAATGCCTTTGGAAATTCTATTGCAAGAGACTGACTCACATTTACTTGGATCGATACCAAACTGAGTCAAATCAATTTGTCCTGTGCGAAGTACCTAAAGAGAGATCAAAAGTTGAGTCAGAGTAATCGAGTTAAGAACGGGAACAACATTGTCACTGAGGGCTTACATAGGTAAATGCATCTACTTGTTGACGAAAAGGAGGGCTCTGCAACAACTCCAATATATCTTCTGCCCTACTGTGACCCTGCGATTAAGTCCTTCGGGTTATTCTAGTTACTTCCACCAAATTCACAACTTGACTCGGTTTCTTCTATCACCTTTTTCAGAAGATAGAGCACATACCTCAGGTAAATGCGCAGACAGTCGTTCTTGTACAGGTAACATCTCAAGCAATGGCATAATCAACTCCGGCTTCAAGATATCCCCTAACACTAGGCCTTCAAAAGATGGAACATGAGAGGACGATGTGGTAAATGTTAGACAAAGGCAGAGAAAACGAACAATAACAGCTGAAAACAAACGAGCATTGCCATCTCCAAGCCATACAGAAGTTAATACTACATATGTTCGTACTGAGCAAACAGAAAATTGAAAATATTTACCTTCGTCTTCAGCAATACCTGAAACAATAACACCGTACCTGAATGAGTATAAGAGGGAAACCAGAAAAGCTTATTGACAGGAGGGTTACCAAAAGATAGAGAGTTTATACCTACAGGGCCACCAGAGATGTTGTTCAGAATTCTTTGCAGGTCCACCAGCTTAACTGGTCCAGACGAAGATGACACATCACTCACCTCCGTAGACAAATTTGGCACAACCAAGTTTCCAGCTCTATGAAAATTTTAAAATAAATCCAAATAAGCCATTGCGTTTCAAATAAGCTAATATACCATTACAGCATAAAACTAGTGTTCTTTCACATGCTACTCAACTCAAAACCAAAAATTTTCACACTATTAAAACAAAAATTTGGTAACCGATTCTTTATATGATTCTCATCATCACAGAGAAGCTGATAGCCTTTAGCAGTAACATCTATAGGATGCCACATAAGAAAAACCGCATGGCCATATCTGTTTCATGAAACTGACAACAAAGCAATCAACCCATTTCTAAAGATAAGGCAGTGTTCTTTAGGAAATGGATACAAAACTAACAGTCAAGCTAGCACTTTGATATGAATCAGTACCTAGATGAAACATCATCTTCTGCCATGTCATCCACATCCACAGGGACAGGAGCTTCATGTCCTTCTTCAAGAAACTCTGGTGCAGAGGAAACTTTTATTAGATTGATTCAACCTTGTCTTGTTATTCAAGTGACCAAACATTCAGTGGACCACTATGAAGGACGTGTTATACACAGAAAAATGATGAAAAACTAACACTTTACACGCTCATATGCAAATGAATGCATTCCTCGTGACAGTATAAAGCAAAGAGGCTACAATGTTAGGGTCCATATGTGACAAGAAAAGTATTTGACACATTGTGTGCTAAAAAAAATGCTACCTCCCCACTTTAAACTTTTACTGATACATGAACAAACAATAACAAGGAAGGAATTAAGCGTATAATTGCATGTCTGATCTTTCATTTCCTTAAAACTTCTTTCCGATTCTGTCACCAGCGGCCTTAGACTAATTTTGAGTCAGAATCGAGTTCATTAACGTGATTTATTGAATTGGTTCTTGACACATTTGGACTCTGTTATATTATTATGAGGTTCTTTCATTATGTTGTAATGTTTTTCTTTTTACGGCCTAGGCCATTGCCTAGTGCCTAAAGTGTTATTGAACAATAATTTAACATCTGGATGAACAAGTAAACCCTGAAACTTAATTCATCTTGATGATGGAAAAGATTGCATGAACTAATGAAAAGAAATTATGGTTCATGTTCTATGGAAAGAGAAGCTCCTTATATAAATCGTACCAAGCATTAATTCCCAAATTCGTTTGACACATAAAACGCCCCCAAAAAATATTCAAAAGATAAGAAAGCTAGTTCGCTGATCACGTAAGTTGGAAGGTTAAACAGCACGAAAGACACTGGTTCCGACATAACATTCACATCCTAGACTGTTTGTAACAAGGTAGGAAAGTTACATGCCTATTGGTTGATTTAGGTATTGATTGACCGCAGTGCAGAGCGTTGCATCACCTTCAGCTCCCGGCTCCTACAAACAAAAAAGAGTTGCCAGAAACAAATAAGATCAAAAATCGACAATGCATCAAGATGAAAGGGATTAGTTGAACAAAAATACACACACATATCAAGAAAGAAACAAGCTAATAAGTGACCTGCATCCAGAAGAATAACTTGCGGTCATCACTGTTGAACTTCAGAATATACACCCTGTCTGATGATTGATTAACCTAAACAGAAATGAGTACGCTGTGGTCACAATCTGAAATTAGTGCTTGACATGCTAGTTACCTCAACTCAACGGGCATACCTTTTCAAACAGAGCTTCATCGGGGAAAACAATTTGATCCTAAAATGGTATCGTCAAGGAGAAAACTTCATAAATGGAACAACTAGTATTATTTCCTGAATTTGTTATATTCAGGCATGACAAAAAAAGGACCTCCTAGATGGATCAAGCTAAGAAAGTTGGGACACAAATCCACTGGCCTAGAAAGACTTGAAACTTGGAGAACCTTTAATATATTTTTAAATTTTAAAAAGAGGAATGCTGAGGATACATCTTCCACTGAATTCTGGATTCGATCAATCCACTGGAAATGAATCAGTCCCTCATAACCCTAAAAGAGAGAATTAGAGGAAGAAAAAAAGATCAGATATAATTTTGCAGAGAACCAGTGACATAGGCATTCTGACACCAAACACTATACTCTGAGATGCTTTAGTAGCAACAATACAATAGTACCACTGAAAAAGCTAATAAACTCCAAATTTCAGTGGAACAGAATTCAACAGGAATAACTGATGGAAAAGAAGAAAGTGGAGATTACTCTAGCAATGCGGACAAGTCCTTTTCGTGTATCGGGGACGACTCTTGTTCCCTGCAAAGACATCTTACCAGCACGAAACTCAAGCATGACTTCCTGCCAAAATAAGTCCGAACGTAAGAGGAAGAACTTTTGTAGCATGATAAAAACGTTAAAAAAGGGATCTGATCAGCTTAATATGAAGTGTTAGATGAAATTTTAGAAATTATCGTAGCGATTACATAAAAGTATGGCAATTCCATGGAAAGCATCGATCATTCAGATAAAGACAAAAAATCAAAGTTGATGAAGAAAAAGGAGCTTATAAGTAGCAACAATCTGATGAAATTTCAAGTTACCTGCATCGCGGGAATCGCTTCGCCAGAACTCATATCACAACCTCGTTCTAGAAAGTAGTAGAGTGGACCTAAATCCAAAATTTCAGTAAACGGAGAAATCAGATTAAAAGTAATCCATTCCACTATACTACTCCTTACTAAACCAAGTTCTAACAAAAGTAGATTTGAGAGTAAGTCCTGAGATGCTGATCGAAGCGAAGATAACAAAACCCTAGACACCAATCTTTCAGCAGAAATCTAAATAAAAATAAAGAATTTGCAAACTAGTGAGAAGAAGCATATCTCTCAGATCAAATTAATATACCTTAAATTCTTCAACAGAAGAAAGCTCGCGAGGAATGAAGTAGCTAGCAGAGGAAGAAGACGCTTAAGTTCTCCTTCTCGTTCTCTTCTCTTCCAATTTGCTTCGCCTCTCTTCTCTGAACTTGAATTTGTGATTTTGTTTCCTTGTTAACAAAAATTATTATTTCTTGTTTTATTTTTGTCTGTCACCGAAGACGATATGACAAATTTGGGCCTTAATTTAGATTGTTGTTCAATCTTCTGAAAGGGCTGAAGATTAAGGCCCATTCAGAATCGGACTAGAAAATATATCCAGGAGTGTTCAAACCAACGGCCAAGATTAACCCAAAGCTTGGAGAGCTAAGGGAACGTTAAAAAGGAAGCCTCAGAAGCGAGAATGAGCAGATAAACCTACTTCCCATTTTCTTATCCGGAAAAAACACCTTCCGGTGAAGAACCTCCTCCTCCCCATCTTCGCTTTACTTCTGTTAGTGTCTTCTTCTTCTTCTTTATCACAGTTTTTATAAGTTTAGCCTCTTCATTTTAAGTGGCACAGTTAATGTATTGGTGTGTGTGTCCATGTTTGATGAGAATTTGGTTGTAAGCTTTTTGAAACTTTTTCCGGGAAGTATTAGCTCATTTCTCTAACGGTTTCTGGGTAAATTCTGATATACATGGATAAGTATTTCCTAATTTTGTCAACTGTGTTTCTTAGTGAGCTCTATACTTTGAAGTTTGAAATGAGTCGCCTTTCTTCCATTTTCTCTGATTTTTCATTAGTTTAGCTTTCTGGGTTGTTGTTTCTGTGAGTTATTGCGACTCTCTCAACCATATATCGCACTAAAAGAAGAGTCTTTATTTTTATATCTTAGTAATGTGTTTTCTAATTGTTGAATTGTCTGTCTGTGTTTTGAAGTGAAAAATGGCATCAACATTCACTGCAACGTCTTCGATTGGCTCCATGGTTGCTCCAAATGGTCACAAATCGGATAAGATCAAGTTATCTTCAAGCTCATTCGGAAAGAGGCAAATTGTGTGCCCCAGACCCAGGAGATCCACTTCTGGAATTGTTTGTGCTGCCAAAGAATTGCATTTCAACAAAGACGGCACTACCATTAGGAAACTTCAAGTGAGTATATCTGTCTCTTTCCTTTGTTTTCAATGGATTCAACGAGGACGTTTGTAATTACTCTGGTTTCTGATTGCTTGTTGTTGTATTAGGCTGGTGTCAACAAGCTTGCAGACCTAGTTGGTGTTACACTTGGACCTAAAGGACGAAATGTTGTTCTTGAGAGCAAGTATGGTTCACCAAGAATTGTTAATGATGGTGTGACTGTTGCAAGAGAGGTATGGAAGTCTTACCCCTCTGATAATGATGTTTATTTATTTTCATTCAACCGACTCTTATAATTTCAGACTTTCTCTCTAGGTTGAGTTGGAAGATCCGGTTGAGAATATTGGTGCTAAGCTTGTTAGGCAAGCAGCTGCCAAGACCAATGACCTGGCAGGTGACGGAACTACAACATCTGTGGTTCTTGCACAAGGCTTTATCGCTGAGGGTGTCAAGGTCTGTGTAACTTTCTTTTTTCAGCTCAGTTTTTCTCTGGTGAAACCCAAAGACTGTTGATCTTAATCTTAAAATTTGTATCATTCAGGTGGTGGCTGCTGGAGCAAACCCTGTATTGATCACTAGAGGTATTGAGAAGACAGCTAAGGCTTTGGTTGCCGAGCTCAAGAAAATGTCTAAGGAGGTTATAATTTTATAGAACTCTCTTTCTTTTAATATGTGACAAGTCTATAACAAAAAGTTCTGAAAAGGATTCATGTCGATGCAGGTTGAAGACAGCGAGCTTGCAGATGTGGCAGCTGTTAGTGCGGGTAACAATGAAGAAATTGGAAGTATGATTGCCGAAGCAATGAGCAGAGTGGGCAGGAAGGGTGTGGTGACCCTTGAGGAGGGTAAAAGTGCCGAGAACGCCCTCTACGTAGTAGAAGGAATGCAATTTGATCGTGGTTATATCTCCCCTTACTTTGTCACAGACAGTGAGAAAATGTCGGTTGAGTTCGACAACTGCAAGGTAAATGCTTCTTGATTCTGAGCCCACTCCATCAAAGTGTTGCAGCAGTTGAATGTTATAGGCAGATACTCTAGTCTCTACAGATATTTATATGAGTATAAGGATCTCTAATGTAATTTATGATTTGCAGTTGCTTCTTGTTGACAAGAAAATTACCAATGCAAGAGATCTTGTTGGTGTTCTGGAGGATGCGATTAGAGGAGGATACCCAATTTTAATCATTGCGGAAGACATTGAGCAGGAGGCTTTGGCGACTCTTGTTGTTAACAAGCTTAGAGGCACCTTGAAAATTGCAGCTCTCAGAGCTCCAGGATTTGGAGAGCGCAAGAGCCAGTACCTTGACGATATTGCCATTCTAACTGGAGGTATGTTCTATGTCCGTTTCTGAGCCCTGTGTTTAGGCCTTATGTTTGTGGTTTTAATCTTGTACTATGTTTCTATCTTCGCTTGCAGCAACTGTGATTCGAGAGGAAGTTGGTCTTTCACTTGAAAAAGCTGGAAAAGAGGTTCTTGGTAATGCCGCAAAGGTTGTCGACTTCGACCATTGTGGGTGATGGAAGCACACAGGACGCAGTGCAAAAGCGTGTTACACAGATTAAGAATCTTATCGAGGTATTAACTTTGTAGTAGAAGAGTAGAGCAAATATGGGATCTCTACTACATTTTGTCGATAGCGTAGTTACAGTAATATGGTATTTGGTTTGTGCAGCAAGCGGAGCAAGATTATGAGAAGGAAAAACTGAATGAGAGAATTGCAAAGCTCTCTGGTGGAGTTGCTGTGATTCAGGTTAATTACAAACTCCCATTAGTACCCTTTGTCTGTTTCAGAATGTGTTCCAGAGATATTAAGTAAAGCTCTTTTGTATTGATTAAAAGGTTGGAGCACAAACTGAGACAGAACTCAAAGAGAAGAAGCTGAGAGTTGAAGATGCTCTTAATGCTACCAAGGTAAACAAAAAATTCTGAGGAGGCTTTAAAAGCGAGTACTCGTGAACTATTTCTGATGATGGTTTCAACTCTTTAGGCTGCTGTGGAGGAAGGTATTGTCGTTGGCGGTGGTTGCACTCTACTTCGGCTTGCGTCTAAGGTTCATGCCATTAAAGCCACCCTTGAAAATGATGAAGAGAAGGTAAAACGATCAAACCTTCAGCTTCTAACTCCTTAACCTTCAGGTTTTCTAACTTCTCTGTTCCTTTACTTCAGGTTGGAGCAGATATCGTGAAAAGGGCATTGAGTTACCCTCTGAAACTGATTGCCAAGAATGCTGGAGTCAATGGAAGCGTAGTAAGCGAGAAGGTAACTTAACAGAAAACCTCCATACACACACGCTTTGTGCTCTTGGTTTAAATCAGATGCTTGAAGAGCTGTTTCTTTAATTCATTGGCAGGTGCTTTCTAACGATAACGTGAAATTCGGTTACAATGCTGCAACCGGCAAGTACGAAGACTTAATGGCTGCAGGAATCATCGATCCAACAAAGGTCAGTTTTTTTGCATACAGAAACCATCTACCTGAGTGAGTGGCTTTATCTTGAATGTATAGGTTGTGAGATGTTGCTTGGAACACGCAGCTTCGGTTGCAAAGACATTCTTGATGTCAGACTGTGTTGTTGTTGAGATCAAGGAGCCTGAGCCAGTTCCCGCAGGCAACCCAATGGACAACTCAGGTTCGTTCAGACATTCATATACTTTGAAACTCCTGTAAAGATCCATCACATTCATGTCTCATTACTGATTCTGTTTACTTCTCGTTTCAGGATATGGATACTGAGGAGATAGGGGAATATTCTCCCGAGAGTGATTCCTTTTAGCTTGCTATAGATGAATGAGCGGAAGTGTAATGATTTTGGACAAGAGAGTGTGTTGCTGTGTGAACTGAAATTTTGAGTCAATCATATGTATAAATCAAGATTCCTTTTTAATCTTGGGAAATTATGTATCCTTGAAAATATCAAAAATGGATCTAAATTCAGGTCATGACACGGCAGCACTAATATAAAGCATTAGTCTTGGAAAGGTCATCAGAAGTGGACTGATTCTTAGCCTGGAGTAAAGGTAGGCTATATGTGTTCTTGCTTTATATTAGTCTTAACTTTCATTTTCATGAAAAGTTATAAATTGACGCAAACGGTAAAAGAAATTCACAAGTAAAAAAGAACACTTTACGATTGGATACAATTCCTCTCAAGTCACAAGTATGTATAGCCAAGAAGAGAAGGGAAAGCTATGAACAGATCACATCAACTGACATAAAACTTTAAGAGGACTATTTCTTGTTAAAGCCAAACAAGGATTTGATGGCGTTAATGGCACTCTCGTTGTTAAAGATTCATCAAATTGCATCATGAGTGGATCGAAATCCTCAGACTTCCTGAGATTTTCAAGGTCTGGATCGCTTCGGATTCTCTGCAAACAAAGACTAATTACTCAGCTACAACAAGCAAAACATCTCTTACTAACTCAAATGAACATTAGAACTCACCTTGAAATCTTCATATCCTGACTTCAATGCTTCTTCCAGAGCCGAGAGACCAGCTTTAACCTATAAAGAAAACTCTTATAAACTCTGCAAACTGAGAATGCAATACCTGAAGGTTATAAAGCTTTTACCTGATTAAGCTTTGAGTAGCAACAAGCAACATTGTAACTCGCAACTGAGGCTTCATCAGTTGTTGGTTTAGATCCTAACACAGACTCAAACCTCTCCAATGCTTCCTCATATTTACCATTCCTACATCAATCAGAGAGACAAGTCAACACTCACTTTCCATTGTTTCACAAAATCAAGAACCACAGAGGATGATTTACTTGGAAAACTGAAGCCCTTCACGAAGATCTTTCTCCCGTTGAGCTTTCTGTTCTTTCTTCTTCAAATAGTTTTGCATCTACACACAGTTCACAAGCCACAATACGCATTACTTCACTTTTGTTGTAAGAACATAAACAATAGTCTTTAAAGAAGATTGCAAGAGAACTCACCTGAATCTCCCTCAATCTACTGCTAATGAATCCAGCATTTCTCTCGGCTCTTATTATCTCCTTCTCTGTTAACTCACCAGAGTCATCCACCTTACCTGCAAGAGAACAAGACACGACACAAAGTGTGACTAAACATAATCAAAACCACACAAAACAGAGCTGGAATTGGGATTGGGAATTCAACAAACCATTTCGCTTCTCCATTCTCATAAGCAAGGGACCAATCCTCTGTCGGATTGTATACATTGTCCTACCGTACTCTGCAGCAGGCCAAATCTCTGTCCCAAACACTGCACTGCACACTCAAATTTCAAGGCACAAAGCAAACTATATCAAAATTCCACTCAAATTTTTTTCACAAATCTTTCTAAAGCTAAAGCCTTTGAAACAAGGAGAGAGAAAGAACAAACCTTGTGGCGATAACTCTGTCGCCGACGGTGAATTTTCCGGTTCTGTCGGCAAATCCACCGGGCAAGATAGCATCAATGTAAGTCCCGCCATCTCTTCCTTTCCTGAATTTCAATCCATAAGGCTGCTCTACCTCAACTTCATATGTTTCGAACTTCTCTTCTTCTTCTTCTTCACCTCCTCCTCCAGCTTCGGTTTTAGCTGAGGAATCTGCCTCTGACGCCTTCAAAGCGAAATTCCATCGTTTTGCCAAATGGGTATTGGATAAAGAAGAAGAATTGCTGAAAAGGAAGAGACTTTTCGAGGAAATGATACTTGGGGGTTGAGAGATCAAGCTAGGATTTTGCTTGGCTTGCTGAGTTCTTGGCAGTGAAGGCGAAGAATACAGAGATGGATAACTGCTCGGAGCTAAAGACATGGTGGTTGATTCTTTTGCTTTCGGCTCGAGCTTGCTCGCTCAGACACAAGCCAAAGAGAGACAGAGGATCAGTTTGCATTACAAGTTTGTTTTGGATTACAAGTTTGCATGATTTCAGTGGCTATGCTTCAGTCTTGGTGTTTCGCCACGTGTCATCTTGTAATGGTACAATGAGTTTGATCCCTTTTCTTCTCTCATGGAGTACATAAATTCGCATCTCCCTTAACTTGGATTCTCCTCTTTTTCTTACATACAATCCAATTTCTATCTCTAAACAAATGACCATTTCTGCAAGAGGACAAAGCAACATTACACTTTCTTCAGAGAATGTGTGTCCTTTTATTCTCATTAGCTCTCTAAAGAAACAAGCAACTTCCAGATAGCATTGGAGATACTGAAATACATTTCTGTTTGGCATCCAAATTTGAGTTACATTTGATTGAAATAAAGCAAGAAACTTGGATACCGAAGGTGCTAAAACAGCAGCCACGACAAACAATACACAAAGTCTAAGCGTCAAATACAACACTCCGCTCAAGTTTTTTTCTTAAAGTTTGTCACATAGACATAGTGATGTTAAAGTCATATGATATGACATGGTGAATGTTAAATCTATAACATCTCCAGAATCTGAATGAGAAAGAAGATTCATCAAATGGTTGAAGGAACGAATGAAGTTAAAGATATCTATACTAATTACTAATTAGCATTTCTAAACAAGAAGAAAAGAATGCTTCCGTGTTGAGTCAGGATTCAGGAATCATCATATGAGTCTTCAAGGGAGCAATAGAACACAAATGCAGCTTCTATATGTACCTCCATGTCCTTTGTCCTTCGCAGTGAAAACTAAAAGTGACTTATCACAGGATAACACAGACACAGGTTTTCCCCCGATCAGAGTCCATTTCATCTTCTTCACTGCAAGAAAATCAGAGAATTACATCATTCCAAATCCAACAAATTCTCCACAAAACACAAACACAAAATGTCACAACTTGGATAGTTGTAGTAGTTCAAAAAAGAAAACTCATTTTGCATAGAAAGAAACCAACACAAAACTCAACAATGTGATACCATCAAGAAAGAAACCTTATGAGTTATGATACCATCAAGAAAGAAACCTTATGAGTTATGACCAAACTTATTGTCCCTAGATTTAAGAATCTCAGTTTCAAGACAAATTCACAGAAAGACAAACCTGGGTTCAAATTCTCGAATCTCAGCAAGATCCTGAATCCCCACCATATCCACCCACTGTACCTTCCTCTTCTTCTTTCTCCTCTTCTCAGTTTCTGATGAATTTGAATCCGCCCTCCTGAGACTGCTTCTCAGAATGAGAGTATCACCACCATTTTGAACTTCGTCTTCCTGTCCATCCACTAAACCATCGTCCTCTTCTTCTCTAAACACATCATTCACATGATGACCATCCTCATGATCAACAACCTCTTCATGCGCATCATGATCATCATCGTCATTAGTGGCTGAAAACAAAAAAGAAGAGTTTTCAAAGACTTGTGAGGTGTTTTCTCCAGCTTGATAGGAAAGGATAACAGAAACAGATTAAAAGGACAGTGGAGATCTTACAAAGCAAAACACTCATCAAAACATGAATTGAGTCTTTGAAACAGTTGATCATCAATGGAGAAATTTCTTACACCTCTTTGTCCGATTTTAGCCCATTTGGGATAAAGCTACCAACTTTGAGCGAAGAAATGGGAAGAGAACTAGCTTAATTTCTCGATTAGAAAACGCAGATAAACCCAGAAAAAAGTGTGTATAATAAATCCTCTTAAAGAGAATCGAAGTAGCATAAATATCCACACTAATTGTAATTAATAAATCCTCTATCTTTAAGAGAATCGAGAACCAAAAAAGGGTTTGCAGGTGAGAAAGACAAAGCAATCCTAATGCTAAATTAAAAAAAGCAGAGATTCCCTTTTGTGAACAAATCAGCGATGAAAAAAAGCAGAGATTGAAGAGGAAAGGAATTTGAAAAAGTCAGATACTTTTCTGATTAGAGAGGGACAGAGAGAAAGAGAAGGAATTTGAAAACCCTTGATTTTCCCTGAGAAAAAGGAAATGGAGGAGGAAGAACAAAGATCAAGTCTTGGACTTGTAGACTCGTACTAGTGTTTGTTAATATTCTTCCCCTTTATTTCAGTTAAATTAAATTGGGTTTGTTATTACGGATTGACAGGAAGTCAAGAACCAACCAAACTTTTATACAGTGGACCAACCGGAAAATCAAAAAGGTTGGCTTTTTGAGTGCCTCCAAAAGGAATGTGTGCCTTTTTAAGACTTGTGGATAGTTGCCTCCTGGCTCCTGCCCAGTTTATATTTGTAGTAAATCCCCATTTATGTTGCTTTTTTTAGTCCAAAATATTAAATTAGAGTTTACATTTTCATTATATGTGTTATCTAATGAAACTATGACATTTTCTTTGGCCATCATCATCAATAAGAACAGTTTACTTTCATGAGATTTCATCTCAGAAATTGGTGTTATCTAATTCATCAAGCTTTGTTTGCGAAAGCACATTCAAAACGTCAAAGATACTACAGCAGTCGCACAACAAAAACAAAAACTTTATACAAACCACATCGAGTAACCAAATGATAAACCAAGCCACAGAATCAACTGCAGAGTTGGCACACATGAGGATGATGCTATCCATCAGGAATCAAAATGCTTCAAACCCATCATCTTCAACCTCTGAGATACAACCCTGATCGCCACAAAACAGAGTGAAAGGAAACCAAAAGCCAGAATCTTTTGAACACTTTGTTTCATCATAACAGTGAATGTTTTGAGACTCACTTGCAGAAGAAAGAAAAGAAAGCTTCAAGTAGAAATACAAGCGCATCGTCAAATTCTGAAACGGTGTAAACTAAGCAAGCTTGCATATGTCCTCGTAGTCAATCGACTTTATGACTCTTCCATCATAGACACCTTTCCCGATCTGCACTTTCGCACAAAACTTCTCCGTATCCACACCCAACAGCTTGGCATTTGAACCACGATACGCTCCATTCACTATCTTCACTAACCCACCAATCTGCGGAAGCACCGTCTCAAGCTCCTCCTGATCAACTCTCAACACATGCTTAGACTCAAGCATTTCGATCTCACCAACATACTTATCAACCACTCTCTTCACAACACCCTTCTGCTTATAATAGCCTTTCTCCGCCAGAGCCTTACTCATCACCTTCACAACTATCCCTTCGAACAGCCAGTAATCTTTACGATTCATTCTCTCCTTCTTCTTCTCTTCCTCCTTCATCATCTCATCCAAAGCTGATCGTTTCTCCTTCTCGCTTCTCCCCGAGTCACCACTCTTCTTCCTCTTCTCCCCTCTCTCTTCTTCCTCAAACACGTATTTCGAGCTCTCTCCTCTCTCTTTACCCGTAGTAACCTGCTTAACCGCTCCACCAAGAGAAAATCCAACCTTAACACCACTCTTCAATCTCAATTCCTCATCTTTCTTTCTCTCACCATCATCATCATCTTCCACAGTTTCTTTACCACTACCTTCACCTTCACCGGAGCTATTCAATTTCTCAGCAGCTCTCTCAATCTGTTTCTTAATCTCCCTCTCTTGCTTCTCCTCCTCAGCCATATCACTCTTAACTCTCTTGTTCTTCAACCTCTCTTTAAACAAAGTCTCCGAATCCCTATCGATATAAGTAATAAACCAACCTTTAGGTGTTTCTTCAACCTTGCACTTACCAGTTTTGCCCAAGTACTTGATGAACTCCGTCAACGTCGCCCACTCCGTCGAATTCATGTGAATGTGCTGCCTGTCGTTGATGTACTCGTTGTAGACGACGGTGGCGGCGATACGAGAGAATCGGTGGCTCCGCCGCATCAGATCGAGGAACGACTGCTCGAATTCCTCGGAGTAACCTTCGACGACACGATGCGGATTCTGGCCGAAAACCTGCATCTGCCTCTGGTGAGACTCGCTCATGCAATGGCACTTGAATCCGTTCTCGTCTCGGCACTGCTTCTCACACATCTGGCAATACCATCGGAGCTTCTGCAGACCTTTTGCTTTCATCCGATTGGCTATCGCCTTCGGGGTTAAGAAATCGTTCTTACCCATCGTTTTTCCAACAAATCGCCGACCTGGGTATCAAAATCAAGGGTTTCCGGTAACCCCAGTGATCAATTCCGCCGGAAAATTTCTCCACGGAAATCAGAGAACCGGGTGATCGAGAGAGAGAGAGAGAGAGAGAGAGAGAGAGAAATTCAATCGAGGATTGTGAAGATTCGTAAAGGATCGCGAGTTTCCGGTGAGACGGCGATAAGTAGCAAACATTGTTATCGTAACCAAGATTCAAAGGCCCATAGATATTTTAAAGGCCCAATTTATTAAGACCCAAAATACAATTACGAGTGACGTGAGAAGAGATACCAATCATTATTAGTTGTGTGAAACTCAAGAAAAGTCAAAAGAGAATGAAATAAATTCCAAATGGAGAGATATTGAAGAAAGACCAACTTTTGTGGTAAGAAGAAGACTTGTCGCACACCAGACCTGACTTTTGTTAATTTTGACTTGGTTCCATTCTTCTCATTTGGGATAATAATAGATGAGTGAGTGTCAATTCTCAAAAGTAAATACAGATAGATAAGGAAGAAGAGCAAGAAAACAGAGAAAGACAACAAACAAAATGGCAGCTTTGTCTGATAAACTAGCCGATGCTTACCAGAACGCAAGGCCTACATATCCGATCGATTGGTTCACGAAGCTTGCAGCTCGAACCGGTCAGCACAAGTTGGCTTGGGATGTCGGTACTGGAAACGGCCAAGCCGCTATTGGTGTAAGCTTCTTCATCTTCTTTCCAAAACCAAAAGTTTCCATTTTTATTTTCTTCCTTTCACTTAGATCCCAAGGATACGACATCGTTTTAGAGTAGTAGAAGAACATAATTACGCATTTAACTACTTCTCAGCTTTTTAGCTTCAGTGGGGAGAAGAAGATCAATGTATAATATTACTGTACAGCTTGCAGAGTATTTCGAGAAAGTTGTGGCCACCGACATAAACGAAGCACAACTGAAACGAGCGGTGAAACATGAAAGAATCAGTTACAATCTCACTCCGACAACGATGTCGGAAGACCAGATGGTCGCTCTTGTCGGAGGAGATAACTCCGTGGATCTCATCGTCGCTGCACAAGCTGTTCACTACTTCGATCTCGCACCATTCTACAACGTAGCCAAACGCGTTCTTCGCAAAGAAGGAGGATTGATCGCAGTTTGGGTCTACAACGGTCTAGTAATCTCCCCTGAAGTCGATTCCATCATGAAACGCCTTGAGGACTCCACGTCTCCGTTTAGAACTCCGGTCATGAATCTTGCTTTCGACGGCTACAAAACGCTGCCGTTTCCGTTTGAAAGCATTGGGATGGGATCAGAAGGGAAGCCTATAATGCTTGACATTCCTCATAAGCTCTCGCTTAAAGGGTTTATAGGGTTCTTGAGATCTTGGCAGCCTGCGGTGAAAGCTAAAGAACGAGGTGTTGAGCTTGTGACACAAGACTTGATCAACAAGTTTGAAGAAGCTTGGGGTGATGATGATAATGATGTTAAGGATATTTTCTACAAAGCTCATATGATTGTTGGAAAACTTTCGGTAAATCATTCATTTACTTTGACATTCATTCATATATAGTAAATATTTTTTATTCTTTGTAAATGTTGTTTATACTTTTTAACTTCTGACTGATGAGATCATTTACTATTATCTAATGGAGGCTTCAGATATAGAACGGCATCGAAAGAGGTTTGAAACCAACTGTGTGGTTGCGAAACTAAAGGATAGTAACAACTCAGTTGTGATTGCTTCAGGTTTGTTTTCCAAATTTTTAATCATGTAACTCCAAGTTAAACAATTTCATTCGAATTGACCGGTTTGTGTTGTTTTTGTTAAATTATATATAGTGACGGCTGTTGCATTTGCTGGACTGGCGGCTTACTGTGCCTACTCTGCGAGGAAGAACACTTAGATCCTCTAATTCAAGAAAAGGAAAAAGGTTTTATGAATCTGTTGAAGAGGGAGTGAGATGGCTGAATAAAAGTTGTATATTCTTTTGCTAAGATGAAATGTAGTAATATGTAAGTCAGGGACATGTTTTGGTTGAAGTGATATTATAGAGAACTAGCACAAAATATGCTTGCGTTTCTTTACCTTTGACCTTTAAATATAAGCTTCAAGAGTTGGATGAAATAGGAGATTAAGCATATCATGACGTAAGTGTTCTTACTTGAACAACATGTACATAAATAGATATCCAAAAAGTTAGACTAACGTAAGGCCTAAAAACGGAACATGAACTATTGTTGTGTTTATTGCTTAAACAAACTTGATCACCTAGTTTTTTTATATCTAAACTACCTTCAACTTTAAGAAAACAAAATTAAATATATCTTTAGAGAGTAGTTGGCTAGATTAGCTCTCTGTCTTAATCGTTATACATTATTTTTTAGAGAATTTCCTTAGAGGGAGTAGTTGGCTATATAATTTATACCCCAAAGGCCAACCACGCCCATTCATTACTTTAATAAGTTTGCTTATTGTATGGTTTAAGAGACATTATTACTCCGAAAGGTATTCAGACTCCTGAATTTTCTTGTCAACAAACCAATATGAAACCACCGCACAAGCTTCGCGGAAACCACCGTTCAAAACCAAAAAAAACGAAACCACCGCACAAGCTTCCCGGGGACTGGCAGAGCTTTTTCCCTTCTAAACAAACCCGACCGCAAAAAGAGGTTTCCGAAAACTGGCTCGGCCGGCCCTACCCGCACGACCAATCTAACCACAAATGCCCTATGTCTAATCCGACACAGCCCCACATGCTTCTCCGGAAGCCAGACTACGACCGTCCACTCTCTCTATGCTTCTCCTGCAAAGGACAACACGTGTGGGGGAAAAGGTACTATTACTACTGTCCTAGTTGCAATTTGCAGTTCCACAGAGGTTGCCACGTGTTACCATCGGAAATGAAACACGCTCTTCATCCTCCTCACCCTCTCACCCTCATCTCCTTAGATCCAAATCTCCATACTTCTAAAATACCCTATCAATGGAGTGAGACCCCCTCGGATTCCGAAGATGATGTTGATGATAATGATGATGATCTATCTCATGAAGCTGATCATAATCATGATGATCCATCAGATGAGAAATGCAAATGCTGTCTAAGACGTTTAGAACATGTGTACTATCACTGTTCTATATGTAACTTCAGTTTCAACGTAAGCTGTGTGATAAACCCACTACCTTGTAGTATCACACACCTAAAGAGCCATAAGCACACACTAACCCTCTTTCCTAGACGGGTCTCTTCGCCATGTGATGCTTGTGGGTTGTCTCTCAACCACACCCGTGACTTCTTTTACGTTTGTCTCCCTTGTAACTACATGGTTCATAAACCATGTATCTACTTACCTCGTGTCATTAAGATCACTCGTCACGTGCACCGTCTCTCTCTCACTCCCTCCCTCCCTCCCGGTCATTTCTCTTGCGGAGTTTGCCGTCTTGCGGTCGACGTTAGTCACGGGCAGTATTCTTGCAATAAGGGATGTGGTTATGCTGTCCATTCCAAATGTGCAACGAGGGATGACGTGTGGGATGGGTTAGATCTTGAAGATATTCCTGAAGAGCCAGATGAAGATATCGAGCCGTTCGTAAGGATTGATGAAGAGACGATACAACATTTCACTCATGAACATCATCTGAAACTCCAAGGAAAGGAAGGTAGCTTCCTTCATGGTGGAAAAAGGTTTTGTGAGGCTTGCCGTCTTCAAATATCGATCTCTGATGTTTTATATAGTTGCGAGTTCTACTGTGACTTTCTTCTCCATGAAGCATGTGCATGCCTTCCTCGCGTAAAACATCACCCGCTACACAAACACCCTCTTATCCTCATGATCCTATCACCAGATTCACCACCCTACTTCACCTACAAAGCCTTCATTAGTACTTACAGGCCTCCATGTCATGTCATGTTTAAGTGTGACGGTTGTCGCCGAAGGAGTACTGGTTTCGCGTATGCATGCGCCAAAAAAGATTGTGACTTTCGTCTAGACGTCACGTGCGCTTCCCTTCCAGATTCTATAAACCATGAGAGTCATGATCACACACTATACATCAATTTGACCTACGGAGAATGCGTGGGATGCAAGTCTACTTTATGTTCTGACCATTACCTAGAATGTATGAGATGCAAGTCCTTTTTGGGTCTTCATTGCGCTACTTTGCCAAGTTTGGCACACTACGAGCACGACACCCACCCACTCACTCTTTGTTATGGCGAACAAGGTACAACAAGTGGTCAATATTGGTGTGAGCTATGCGAATTAAAACTAGACGCAAGTGAATGGTTCTATACATGTGATTCTTGTAGAGTCACTCTTCATGTTACTTGTTTGTTGGGGAAAGATATGTACATGAATCCTCGACATATCATCGAAGCACGACCTAGAGATGTTGAAATTACTCTCAATGATGGTAACACTCGACCATTTTGCTATCGATGCTCTAGACGTTGCGTAGAACCCGTGGTGTACAAGTGGGATCATGAATGGTTTTGTACTTTGCTATGTGCCGGCGGTATAAGAAGAGGAATATTTCAAAGATAAATTTTTTTTTGTACTTTGCTTAAAGTTAATTGTGTAAATATTCATGTCTTGTTATGTTTGAGTATTTGATCCAAACTTTGTCTTGGCATTTTGCTTCTTTATATTCCACCAAGAAACTGGAAACTGGCATCTCAAAAACATCAAAATGATATAAAGCCATATAAAACACCTTAAGAATTAGGATTGTGAAGATGTAGGAAACCACTCCAGACAGAACCAGGTTCCAAAGAGATTGGATTGAGCAAGGAGGATGGTCCAATACAGACATAAGCAGACTTTGTGTAGCTTTCAAGTCTTGAACCTGGACTGTACATATACACTTCCTCAAATCCTTCTCTTCCCACTACCACAGAGTTTCTTCTTCCCTAAGAAAATTCCACAAACCAACAATTTCTTTAAATTCCAACATTTTGTAACCATAACAAGAAATTTGGAAATATCAAGTTTTATCATAACTAAGTACCCTGTCAATGACAGTGAAGCTCCTTGGAGCAAATGTGTAGATCCTACTCATCTCTTGATCCAACTGTTTGTAATTGCTCTCTTCTTCCCCACCAATCCCTGATCTTTCTTCTTCCTCCTTCTCCTCAGCTTCAACTATCCCGTAACGCGGAAGAAACGGTTTCGTTTCCACAAAATCTGAACCTTCCAGTCCAACTGCATACGTGGCTTCTGGTGTGCTCACTGTCAAATAACTTACAAGTGAACAACCTTCAAGCTTGATCGGTGAAATGCTTTCGTTTGTCACACAAAGCTCAATGCTCAGTGTTTCTCCTCTCAGAGTTATAATCTGTTTCATCTCAATCTCTTTGTTGATCTTGTCACTTCTTCTCAATTCCACTTTAACACAATCGCTTGAATCTCCAGTGATCCCTTGTAGTCTCCATTCATCATAATCAGATGAGTTAAATGCAGAAGAAACACCTCCTCTTATCACTACCTCTTCTTCTTGTTCTTGTTCGACCCATGTGTGGAGAAGCTCCACTTTGCCTCCGTGCCAGACTTTGACTTTGTAGGAGGTTACCATGCCGCGTGTCAACATCACATTGGCTGAACTTCCATTGTCCAATTTCAGTTTGGCAATACATGTCTCACCTAGTCCAATCAAATCAAAGTTGTAAGCTTAGAAGAGACCAAAATTAGAGAAAGACATATATATACCAATATCTTCGAAAGTGGCTCCATGGCCGGAGAATTCTCGCCGGAGATTTTCAACGTCCATCGGAAAGTAAGGAAACGACGCCGCCGATGAAGCTGCTGCAGCTGATGGTGGTAGAAGAGAAGAAGAAGACTCTAATCTCTTAAGTTGCAAAGAAGCAAAAGGTGAGCTTAGATGATGAAGCTTTGTAAATCTACTAAACGGAAGAGTATTGCCATGCGAAACAATAGTTGAATGACACAAAGCCATTGTTTGGACTTTGGAGAGCTCTGAAAACGTTTCAGAGTAGAACTCACAATGGCCTTATCTTCTTTGCCATTCATATGATGACCGTTGCTTCTTCAGTGCCTCTCTCTACAAGTAGAAGACGAGTCATGGGTTGGGCTTGTAATAGCACATAAACCTCAAAAGGTTTTGACTTTGGGCTTTAAAATTGTAAAGGTTCACACTTTCGACTGATTTCTGTAAAAGATCAAAACTTTGGGTCCAAAACGGAATTAAAAAACATATCTTTATGGTCTAGTTGTGCAAAAAGAAAACGCACGAAACGTTCCGAGACGAAAGTCAATTCGAAGACCACCGGATTTTCGTAACAACCATAAAGTAAAGCCAAAGCAGCCCAATTCAACGCAGCCTAGAGAGAGAGAGAGAGAGAGGAGCTGGTTATGGTGTTCAACAGTGCGGCGGTTGTGGCGGTGGCCGAGGTCTCCACCGACGCGTGGCAGCTGATTTGGAGGGTTCCGTCGTCGCGGAGGGTCAATACAGAGCAGCTTCTGGACATGGCGTTTATCTTCCCGATGCAACAATTGAGTCGTTTCGTTCTCTGTTTATGGACTTTTATGTGTCTTCCTTCCTCTGATTCCTTCTACTCCTACGCCTACGAGACCCTATCTGCTTCTTCTTCGTCGGATGCTGATGATGATGATCGGCTTGCTTTTGATCACAATCTCTACAATTATCGTGACTATTCTGATGATGAATATGATGATGATGATCGATCTTCTTCTGCTTCGTTTGATGACTATTATAATCATTACTCTCATTCAGATTGACTTTTGCTGACTTTTAGCTTTTCTGAGCTGATTCATTATTTAGAGGTAATTGCTCTGTTTGTTCAAAGTTACAATCTTTTGTGGTTTTTGAGATTTTGTAAATTGATATTCAAAATAAATAAAAGAAATCAGTTGTATTTTCATTAATTTTCCCTCTTTTGTGGTTTCAATATGATACTATTGTGCAAATGGTTGTGTTCTTGCCATTTTGATTGCGATCTTAATAGATTGATTCGTTTTAGACACTGAGATTGAGAAGTCCTGAGAAACAGGAACTTGTGTTGTTTCAAGGATGATTCTAGTGTTTTTGGATATGTCTGCAAGAAACTTCTTTTTGACCAAAAATTGTCTGCTTTTATCAAATCCGAATCTCTTGTTGCATCATCCCAAGTGAACGATTTGTCGATAACACAGGAAACACAATAGGAAACAGTCTTTAGTATTTGACATATGTGATCATTTGGTTTCGTCTACAGAGAAATACATTTCTTTTACTGTCTAATAACATGTTAATACACATGTTAAGACCTTTCTAAAAGTTCGATACTTTGTAGAGATTTAAGAACACAGTTTCAGGACTTGGTTTATAAACGAAGAAGATCAATCTCTCCCAAGTAAAACATAGCAGTATCTCAACTTCTACATGGGCCGGTATGGGTCAATTTATTGTGAGCCCAATATGTATGAAGAATGTTTGTCCAGATATCACCCATATTTGGCTATTTTATTTTTCTATAATTCAAAAAAATAAAAATATCAGTAATAATGTGATTTTCTTTGGCATATATGATAAAATTGTGTTACTATAAAGGAGCAAATGTATATAAAAATATAATCACACAGTGGATGACTTTTTGGTGTGAAACGATAAAGGATGAACACATGCTTGACATTTTGCGTCAAAGATAGTAACAAGTCAATATGGGATTAAAAAGTTTCCATCTTTGCATTAGTGTCTGTGATTCACCAGGAAAAGGAAGAAGAAACAACAAATAGGTCACATGTCTCAATAGTCTTTTCCCTGAAGACAAACACTTACATCCATTCACATGATCATGTCCAATCATGTCACACATACTTCTCTACTGTGTCTACAATCTACATACGTCGAAATGCACGTATCCACATACATAATAGATAAATATGAGTTACAAGTGTATGGATAATACTTTCCAGTTCTATTGAATTTGTGCTTGGAATAAAAGCACAAATCATATGACACTTTGTAAACAAAAATCTTTTCACGTCATCCTCAAATGTTTCCATTTTTCTTAAATTACTGACAAAGTCGAAAAAAGAGAGAGAGATGAGAATCTAAAACTCGTAAAGTCTAAAGTTTGCATTATGAACACAATAGTGGAGTATTATGTGTATTAAAAAAAACTTGTGGCTCCACCTCCTTTCCTGTGCATGTGTGTTGATCAAACATTTAACCTAAACTTTGATTTTCTCTCATATTCTAGCATATAATCTTATCATATAAAGAAAGACTAATGGTTTGACTGCAATTGGGAAAAATGTCTTTCAATTACATATTAAATTAGAATATTAGATATTTCATCATACTTCAAACTTGTTTTGTTTCTTGTGACTAGATTTAGTTACTAGGTGGGTATTTTAAATGAACAACTAGTTATTCCGCATGTCTCAGAGATTAATCCGAGTTATAGTTACAACAAAAAACAACAAATGTTATTGACGATTATATACTTTCTTAACCTGATAAACTTCATGCACTTTTATGGACTTTTTTGTGGTGGTGGGATCCAACATTGCCTTTTGTAGCTTCTCTTGAGCCAGACTCATGTATATAATCCAATTTCAACATTAATTTCAGTCTGTTATCAAGTAGAAAAACGATAACTCCAGCTATGATAACTAAATAAACTAATGGCTTGCATGTGAAGCCAATATAATCTCATTGCATGACAATGCACCATGTGAAGCATCATGGAATAAATATATAGATTATGTAGACATACGTGTTTGTGAATTCGTGACCTTGCAGCGAGTATCGATGACATTGCTCACCACTGTTTTTGGACTTACGCTCAAGTGGGCAGAAGCTACAACATGAAAATGTACAATTTTTAATTGAATAGAGACATTTTAAAAATAAATGAAAAAGACAAGTTTTGGGTAGCTACCTAATGGAACTTTGTCCATATCATTCATTATACTTTACTTTTTATATATGTTCATCTTTTTATAATTGAATGCATTGTCTCAAATCTCAAGTTCTCAACCATTGCATTTGGTGAATCGCTAAGAAAACCAATCACCGACAACAAATCAAATCACTCTTATCTAGTGTTCGTCTAGATTTATGAGTCATTAGTAACATCTAGATCCTATTACTAGTAAAACGAGTTTTTTTAATCAAATTTGCGTAAGAGACATGAAACATGTTTGTTAACGAGGTATATTCTCCTTTTTTTTCTTCTTAATATGAAAAAATAACTTTTCGATTGTTTGCAATTGTAACTTTTCGTTGCATCGGATTCCATTGTTTTTCTCTCTCTTTTTTTGACCGTTGGCTACTTTTTACCTCTTTCCGATTTTACCCTCTCCGTGATCCGTGGTTAGTCATGGGCTCACGGGCGTGACATACGCGTACGGTGAGAGATGCAACTTCTCGCACGAGTGGCCATTTGTTACAACACGTGTGACCTCCAAAATGGTAAGCTTTTTCTGGTTACTGACTTACTTGGAGTGACTTACTGGCAGATGACGGTAACTAAACGTCGTCAATTGGAAAAGTTAACGGCAGGTTTCTATTTTGTTAATGTAGATTTATTATCATTATAGAAAGTAAGATTTATTAATCTTGTAAGTTTTCACAAAGTTGAAACATCCATAAATAAATGTTAATATTCAATAGTGTATGTTTTCTTACTACGCAATCAAATTCGCATCTACCCTAATTATGGGCATGCAAGTTAAAAATAAATAGATTATGGGCGTTCCTTTGACCAGTCGTCTACGTTAAAACATTTTAACAAATTATAAAAACCAAATACTCCCTCTATTTCAATATATAAGGGATTTTAGAATTTTGTTTTTGTTTCAAAATATAAGGGGTTATACAAAAGTAAATGTGTTTTTATTACTTTTAATTATTTATATTTTGCAGATTTCTTTTTTAATTGTGCCAAAACTTTAAACCCCCTATATATTGAAATAGAGGGAATATACACCTTTGGCCGTACAATTTTTGTTCTCATTGTATCAAAAACCGTGTGTTGTTTTTTTTTTTGTTTAATTACTTTTTCTAACTTTCCACATTGTTCTACGGTGTAATCACTTTCACCGTTGACGAAAATGATTATAAACTAATAATATCGCTCGTGTAAAACAAAGTAAGTATTCTAAAAAAATATCAAATGATGCAGAGCAACATGCGAACAGGATTAGAGCATAAGAATCTTTGTCTTAGTGATAAGTGATAACATTGAATTTTGAATTACTATACTATTAACCATGGAAGAAAAGCCAAGCTGGCTCTGATCCTTCTGACCAAGTTCACATTGTCTTCTTTAAAATTTAAAATGATATTCTTGGACTTTCCACCAGATTCCCTTTATTTTCTTAATTACCATTTTACTAAACAATTTCAAATTCCCTTCTTTTCTGTTGATTCACATCAATATTTCGTGTCCTAGGCAAAATAGGTTTCTGTCATTTTCAGTATCTAATGTAAATATTCAGTTGCATTACATTTTTGTTTTTAAAATATTCTGGAGCCGTATTTTGAATATTTAGAAGAAAAAAAACATATAAAAAAGTAGGAAAAGGAGCAATATTCGTTGTAAAGTATTTTTTTAATTACCTTTAAAAAAGGCGAATTGATAACAAAAAATAAGTATATTTCAGTGTGAATAATTCGAGAGAGAGTGGTAAAAATAATTAAAAATACTGTAGGATATGGAGATGGGAAAGTGAACTGATAAGAGAGAGAAAGCGAAAGCTTTTTTGCAAGTGTGTGACTGTGTCTGTGTGTGTGTAGAGGTGAAGAGAGAGAAGAGCTAAGAAAGTTCAGATTTTGAGCTGTGTGGTTGGATTTTTGCGAGAACGAAACCAGACCCACCTCCGAATCTGTCCCAAACGACATTATCATTCAGCTGTTTAAGCTCTTCTTCTCGTTAGGGTTTCTTTCTTCTTCTCTTTGGGGGAGCTTTTTGAAGCCCAGTGTTGTATAATTTGAAGAAAAGCAAAGGTTTTTACTTTCTAGTGTTTCTTTGGCGACAATGGGAGCTGTGCATCTTAGCGCGGAGAAGCTAGCTAGAGGTTTCTTAGTGTGTTTATGCCTGTGGGGTTTCTTCTCGCTATCCTGCGCCGCAAGGTCCGGCGTATCAAAGCAGAAGTTTGAAGTGAAGAAACACTTGAACAGGTTGAACAAGCCTGCTGTGAAGAGCATTCAGGTAAGAACAAATATATCTTCTTGTTTGAGTGTTTTTGGTGCTTTCTATTTGGATTGATTTTGGTAAACAAAGAGAAGGAAAATTTTGGAAACATTATCATTAATCTCATGATTCCTGATTTCTCTCTCCTGCTACACAGTATGAGTTTTACCTTTTTTAATAATTTGTTCTAATTGAACAATTACTACACATTTGTCTCCAGATTTCATAAAAAGTTATGGTTATAATCATTTTCTAGCTATATTACATTTGGAAATGCTACTAAAGTTGAGTTTTTTTTTGTTGGTTCTGATGAAAGTTTCTTACTTGACTGTGTTGAACAGAGCCCGGATGGTGATGTGATTGACTGTGTCCCTATCTCAAAGCAACCAGCTTTTGATCATCCTTTCCTCAAAGACCACAAGATTCAGGTCCATAGAAATGAAAAAAACTGATTTTGATTTTTCAAAACTTTCTTTAGATGTTGACGTTTACTTTTTACTTGGTGTATTCTTCAGATGAAGCCTAGTTACCATCCTGAAGGGCTCTTCGATGACAACAAAGTGTCTACTAAATCAAACAAGAAGGAAATGCATATCC